TCGTCCCTGCGCGTGCCTCCCTTGCCCGCTGCTGCGCCTCTGCTGCTGCTCCGGCCCCACCCCCTCCCGTGGGCTGGCCTGCGTGCAGGGTGACACCTCTGGCACGGTGCGGTTTGAGGGCGCCAGCCAGGCGCAGGCGGCGCTGGGCAAGGCGGAGGACGGGCGCATGCTGATTGCGGGGTACAGCGCTGCGGTGCGGGTGCTGGAGGGGGAGGAGGAGGAGGCGTTCATGAAGAGGCGGGCGGCCGCGCAGCGGGCGGCGGCGCAGAAACGCAAGGACAGCGGCGGGCGCGGCGGGCGGGGCGGCGGGCGCGGCGGGCGCGGCCGCGGCAGCGGCAGGGGCGGGCGGGGCGGGCGGGGCGGCAAGCGCGGCAGGCACAACTGAGGCGCCGGCGCGGGTTTGACGCAGCCCGCATGCGCCCCTCAGGATTCGCCCGCCTGTTTTTGATGCACTAGCTGAGCCTGCCTGCCTGCCTGCCTAGAAAAGTACTATAGTTGCTTTTTTCTCCCCTCACTCGTTCTCCCTCCTCCTGCTCACTGCTGTTTCCATGCTTTGTGCAGCTTCTGGATTCTTTTGCAACGCCCTGCCCACTAATGAAAACCAAATGTAACAATGGGTGGACATCAGGCTGCCAGCAACAGGGCTGCCCAGCAGAGCGACAGCCGTGCATCGGAAGTTTGGTGAAGTCTTTTGCTGCTTCTGTGCCAATCATCCCAGTTCCTCAGCGCCGCTGCCTGGCCCAATCACATCCACCCGCACCTTCACGCCTGCAGGGCATGATGCTGCGGGGCGGGTTCAAAAAGCGTGGGGGCCACCTGTGGTTGGCCCACTCACCGCTGGGAAATCAATGCCCATGCCAAAGGCCTGAATAGCACTATCACCCACCCGACTCGCATGCGCCAGGCACCGGCGACGTGATCCAGTACGTTCTGGGGTCGCTTGGCGGAATCCAGAACCACCCATGGTTGCTGTCCGTCACCGGGTGTAGCTCCTGGTAGGTCTCATTGGTGGGGGCATTAAAAGTGTCTGCACCGGCACTTTAAGAAGCAGTTGTGGGCAGCGAGGGGGGCTCGGGTTGGAGAGGGGTACAGCCACCCACCACACGCACGCACCTGGACACTGCTCCGAGGGTATCAAGAAGACTCCCTGCGGCTGCCTCCATCTAAACATCACGCCGCCGAATCCCGTGGCGCAGATCGGGATGATGCCACCACGCGGCAGCCGCACCCCCGGGTCACCCCAGTAGATGAGGTCCCACCCGCCGCTGCCGAATTGATAGCAGTTGCCATCTGCAGGGGAGGGAGGAGGGAGCAGGGAGTGCTCAGAGAGAAGAAGGGAGTGCTGGCGGGAGTAGCAATGCTGCGTCTGCAGCAAACAAGGAGGCCGGCCAGGGGAGGAAGGAGCAGAGAGAAGGGTCGTCTCAGTGGCGGCAGCGGCGGTCTGGCGGGGGCGGCACCGCTGGCACGCTGTTTCTCACTCCCGCGCGCTGCCCGCGCTTTCACAAGCCTCGGTGCACGTCAGTGCTCACCATTGTTCCCCTGGGCGCCCCTGGGTTGAAGGGCTGCGAAGACCGCGAGCAGGGCTGCCAAGGCGTGCACGCCCATCAGCCTAGCGTGTCGCTGGAGTAAGCCCTTGCACGATGCTGGAGAGGGCCAAGGATTCCTCATCAGGCTGCCTGAGAATTGCGCGCTCCACGTCGGCATTCAGTTGGAAATAGCCCTCCCGGTCCTCCTGCCTCTGCATTTGAGCGTGGCAGTCCTGCACCAGCCTCGCACCGACCTCCGAGCCTCTCTCTGATCATTCGAACTGGCTTTGCGACAGACACAGACGCCTGGGGTGGAATAGTGGCGCTCAGAAGCACCTCATCGGGCACCCAATCCGTTGAGGCCCGTCACAGACGCGCAGCCGGCCAACGCGCAATGCCGCGCCGTCCTGGCTGCCAACTCCTGGTGTCCTAGCAGCGCGTGGAAGCTCCTTGCTGCGCTCAAAGGGCGGCATGGCGGCTTTCATACAGCTGGTGGCCGCCGCGGGGCAGCGCCTGCTGCTGCAGGCCGCCCCGGCACCCGCCCCTGAGGAGGCGGCAGCGCCCGCGTCTGCCGCCGCCACAAACGACACCGGTGGCTACGATGTGCGCTGCCTGCCCGTCTGGCTCCCCGCATGCCAACTGTTGTTCCCCGTGCGGCATGCTGCATGCCAGCATAGCGCTTGCCGCCACGTCCACCCCACCTGCCTGCCGCCGCCGCCGCTGCAGGTCAGCTTCAGCACATCGTCGTGCATGAACACCACCAGCCCAATCTGCTACTCCACAGCCATCAGCGGAGAGAACCTGATCACAGGGTGGGTGGGTGCAGAAGGCCGCACACAGTTAGGCGCTCAAGTGCTGGTGGTGCTTGAGCAGCGGGCACTCCCGCAAGGAGTTGGCCCTGCCTTGCGGCCCGTCACGCCACCGCTGCTGCTGCCGCCGCCGCCGCTGCCGCCTGCAGGATGTGGGTGAACCTGATCCTGGGGTGCCTCTGCTACCTGGGATTTGTGCTGTTCCGCTCCATGCGCGGCTTTGAGTTCTACCACGCACGCCTGGTGAGGCCTTGGATGGATGAGGGTCTTGTGTCGTGCAGGGGCGTGATCACCGCATGCGTTTGTCAAGCATCACAATATGTGGCAATGCTGCGACAGGTTGCTGCCAACGCCCGCACGTGACGCCCACACCCTGCTTGCCCCCGTGCCGTGGCGCAGCTGCTGCCCACGGTGTCGCGCAAGCCGCCGCAGCTGGCCCTGCACGGCCACCAGCGGCTGTGGGGCTGGCTGCTGCCGGTGTTCGGGGTGACGGACGAGGAGCTGGTGCACAGCTCGGGGCTGGACGCCCTGATTGCGGTGAGTGGCGGCGGCGGCGGCGGCGTGGGTGTGTGCATGTGTGTTGTTGGGCTGCCGCCAGCACGGCGCTCCTTTTTCTCGTGGCACGCCAGCTGGAGGCGTGTGCTTGCTTACCCGCCGATGATCTTGTGCCCCCCTCGCCTTGCCCTGGCGCCGCCTGCCCTGCGCAGGTGCGCATCATCAGCTTTGGGGTCACCCTCTTCCTCCCCATGACCATCCTGGGCACCGCGGTGCTGCTGCCCGTCAACTACACCTCGGGTGGGCAGCCCGGCCTGGCCTGGCCTGGCCTGGCGGCGGTGGAGCTTGTGGGCTGGCGCTCTGCACATGGTGCTGCCTGGCGTGCTGCTGCCACTGCAGACTGTCACTGGTGGTGCTGCTGCTGCAGCTGCCTGCTGCTGTTGCTCACCCTACTCACCCTGTGCCCCTGTACCCTGCTTTTGCCCGCGAGCAGATTACTACACGCAGTATGCGCAGGAGGAGGGCATGGATGAGTACACCTCGGTCTTCATGCGCATGACCATCTCCAACATACGCCAGCGCTCGCCCCTGCTCTGGTGCGGCGGACGGGCGTGGGCGGGGCAGGGCTCCCTCTGCCGCATGCATGAACCAGTTGCTGCCTGCAACTTGCGGCACGGCACTGCCGCCGGTGGAGGTGCTGGTTGCGCGCGCACATGCGTTGCGAGCTGCTGCGTGTTGATCCCTCATGTGCCTGCCTGCCTGCCTGCCTGCCTGCCTGCCTCAGGATCCACTTCACCTTTGTCTACCTCAACGTGTTCTGGGCCTCCTGGCTGATCATCGAATACTACAAGGCAAGGAGGGGGGCGCGCTCCAGCAGGCAGCCCGCCCCTGTGCAGCTAGCGTGCAGCATGTGTGTGTCCCTGTCTCTGGCGCAGCTAGCGTGCAGCATGCGGGTGTCCCTGTCTCTGGAGCGTAGCTGCAACAAGGAGAGCGGGGAGGAGTTGAGTGACACACACTTGCCTGGCGGCCTCCCCTTGCTGTCGCTGCCTGCAAGTGCCAGCCTGCAAGTTGACAGCAGCCTCCTGCCCACCCCCACCCCACCGCCGCTGGGTTGTGCAGGAGTACATCGCACTGCGCCAGACATACCTGGTGCGGTGCACAGCCGTGCCCGGCGACGACCGCCCGACTGGCGGCGCCTCCGCCACCCCGCTCCTGACGCCGTCGATGGCGCCCAGCCGCAGCCCCATGAAGCACGGGCTGGCGGTGGCGCACAGCCCCACGCGGCGCGGCAGCGGCGGGGCCGCCGCCGCCGCGCTGGGCCTGCTCAAGTCTGCCAGCTCCGGCACGCTGGGCAGGACGGTCAACCGGCTGAAGCTGCCGCGGCGCAACGCGTCGCGTGCGGGTGAGAGCCGTGAGGGCCGCCGCTGCCGCCCGCCTGCCTGCCTGCCTGGCCCTGGAACCATCCCCCAATGCCTGCCGGTCTGCGCTCCATTCTCCCGCCGCTAAGCGCCTTGCCTGCTGCTGCCGACTGCTCCACTTCATTGCTGCGCCGCAGCCGACGAGTTTGGAGAGTTTGCCTTCCGGCCCAGCCGCTTCGCCACGCCCAGCAGCAGCCCGCCCAACGGCAGCCCCTCGTACGCCGACCGCGGCGCACCGGCCGACGTGGTGGCTGGCGGCGGCATCTTCACGTACGCCGGGCCCTCGCGCTTCAGCCACCAGCGCAGCGGCAGCAGCCCCAGCGCGGTGGCAGCGGCCGGTGGGCTGGTGGCGTCCGACGGCAGCGGCACCGCCGCGCGGGGGCTGGCGGCGGCGCTGGCGGCGCTCCCCGGCGGCAGCCCCATGCGCCGGGGCAGCAGCACGGGGATCGAGCTGTCTGATGCCGCAGCGTTTGGCTCTGGCATGGTGACAGCCGGTCCAGAGCTGGGCCCGGATGCCAGCGGCGCAAGCACGCCGGCGTCAGAGGCAGGCGGCGGCCGCGTGCAGCGGCCGCTGTTGTATCAGCAGGCCCTGCGCAGCAGCGACCGGCTGCCGGCAGACTCGCCAGACCAGCGTCCGCCGCGGCCTGAGCAGTACAGAGGCAGCCTGCCACCGTTGCCACCTGCGGTCGCTGTGGCGGCCCCTGAGCAGCCTGCCGCGGAGGGGGTGCACCAGCAGCCCCAGCAGGGGGGGGGGGCCGCCGACACTGAGCCCACCTTTTCGCTGTCGTTCAGCCGCGGCTCGGGGCTGGCCGACATTGGCAGCATCAGCCTGAACGGCAGCGGCAGCCAGAGCGACGATTGCGCCGACACGGCGGCGTCCCAGCATGGCGCCGGCGCCGGCGCCGCGGCCGTGCAGACGCCCAACGGCGCGTCGCCTGCCGAGCCGGCGGCGGCAGCGCCGAGCGTGGAGCCCAGCGGCAGCTCCAGCCGCACGCTGCTGGCGCTGGGGCAGCAGGCCGACAGCGCGGCGGCACAGCCCGGCGACTCCTCGCCGCCGCCCTCGGGCGCCATGACCCGCAGCGGGGGCTCCGCCGCCGCGCTGCTGCCGCTGGTGCAGGGCGGCGAGGGCGGCAGCAGCAGCAGCCCCACCTCCGACACGCTGCCGGTGCGCCCCCGCCACGCCCCCACCAGCAGCGTGGAGGTGGCGGCGGCGCTGGGCTATGACCAGGCGCCGCCCAACGCCGAGGAGATCTACGCAGCCATCCTGAGCAGGAGCAGGGCGGCGGGCGGCGGCGGCGGCGGCGGCCTGGCCGCCGTGTACGGCGGCAAGGCGGAGCGGCAAGGCGGCGGCGAGGGGGAGGGCAGCGAGGGCATCGCCACGCGCTGGTGGACGACGTACCAGCGTGAGCGGCTGGCTGGGCCGGCCCGTGCATTCACGTCCGCACGTGTGCTGCTGCGTGCATTGCGAATTGTGCTTCATGTGGCGGCGAGTTGTGGCCGTTGCCCGCTCCGTGGGCGGGCTGCCCCGACCTGCCCGATTTCCTTGCTGCTGGCGCCGTGCACCTTGTGTACGGCACCGCACCGCACCCGTGCCGGCTCGCTGCCCCGGGTTGCTGCTGGTTCCTGCGCGTGCCCTGCCCTCCCACCACCGCGCCGCCGCCGCCGCCCTCTGCAGCCGCCGACGCCGACGGCGTGCCGCACGTGCTGCACCTCAACCAGAGCATCACCTTCAAGGGCGCGGTGCGGCTGGCGGCGCCGGGCGGCGGCGCCGGCGGCGGCCGCAGCGGCAAGGAGCTGGCCGTCAACGCCAGCCTCTTCACCTGCCTGGTCATGGACATGCCGCTGGAGAAGCTGAAGCTGCGGTAAGCCGGCCTGGCGGTGTGCATTTGCGTGTGTGGTGGTGGTGGTGATGTATGGGTGTGTGGGCTGGACAGGTGTGAGTTGGGGGCTTGTTGAGGGACGGGGAGGGGCAGGGGTTGGATGGCGAGGACACGCCGGCAGGTTGGCTGTAAGGGGTGGCAGCGTCGCAGCCAGCAGCAGTGGCCAAGGCTTTGCCCCCTGCCAGCTCTCCGCTGGCTTCTGCTTCTGGCTGACCTTGCCTTCCCGTTGTCCGCCCTCCCCATGCCCTGCCCGCCAGGCGCCTGGGCGTGTTCCCCACCTTGCGGCGCTGCCTGGGGCTGCAGCCCGCGCGCTCGCTGACCCGCACCAGCACCCTGGGCAGCCTGACGGCGGGCGGCAGCGGCACGCCCACCAGCGCGCGTAGCCAGGAGGACATCACAGCTGTGCTGGACGAGCTGGAGAGGGGGCAGCAGGCAGACAGCGGCCGGTGAGCGTGGGAAGCAAGCGTGGGGTGTGAGCCAAGCCGGCGCGATGGCAGCAGGGGGCAGGGCCGCCTCGAGTCGTCTAGTGGCTGCAGTGGTGGGTGGCGCACCCTCCCCTTGAGCGTGTCGATGTTGCTGTATGCAGTGATGCTGTGGAGGCGCACGCCACGGGGATCAAGGGCGTGCTGGCGCGGGTGGCGTCGGTGTGGCAGAACCGCAGCAGGTGGGCGGCGTGCATGCGCCGCATGCCGACACCGCCGCTCCGACGCACGCAACCGGAGGCACTGCATGCATGCATGCATTGCACTGCTGCGCCGGCACCGCTTCAGCGTGCTGGGCTGATGGGATGCATGAAGCCGGGATGGGATGCTTGCGCCGCAGGCTGGGCGAGTGGCGGCGCGATGTGCGGTACGCGATGTACAACAAGCGCGTGCGCATCGCCACCGAGATGTTCAGCGAGCTGTTTGGCGCAGACTTCGACTCCATCATCCCCATCTACCCCACGGGTGGGCTGCAGGGGCGGGGCACGCGGCTTGGGTGTGGGGTGGCATGTCTCCTGGCAGGGCGGGCCTGCTGGTAGCTTGTTGGCCTGTTGGGCAGCAGATTGACGTTTGCTGCCTTGATGCCTTTTGCCCTCCTCACCCTCCAACCCCCAACCGCGCATGCACCTCACATGCCTACCAACCACACCCCACCCGCCGCCGCCCTGCTCCAGCGTCTGTGGACAAGCTGGCCCACAAATGGGACTCCAAGGTGGCGGTGCTGGAGCGGCTGCAGCTGGCGCTGCGCGACGAGCCGCGCCACCACGCCAAGCGCTGCGCCAAGCTGAAGCAGCGCATCATGGTGCTGCAGCGGGAGGTGGCGCTGCTGCAGGCAAGCGCGTGCGGGGGTGTGCTGGCGCCCCTGCCGTTGCTAGTTCTGCCACCAGGGAGCCGACTCTGCTGGTAGTAATTTACTGGCATGCAAGCACGAGAAAGGCCTGCCCAGGGAAGAAGGGCTGGTGCGCGCAGCTGATCGAGTCTTGGCCCTGCGCTGCTCCACGTGCAGGGCGACATTGCGGCGGAGCGGGATGCCGTCCTCTCAGACCTCCCCTCCACCTGCTTCTTCGCCACCTTCAAGAGCCAGCAGGCCGCGGCCATCGCCTCGCAGGTGGGTGACTGGCGCGGCAGCCTGTGCTCGGCAGTACCTGCCAGGCGGGCACAGACACACATCGTTCGGGCACACCCAAGAGGCCCCTGCCATGCACTGCCAAGGCGCGTTGAACACTGACGCCATCGCCATTCCACGCCCCTGGTGCCCCCTGCAGACCAACCTGAACCCCATCATGCAGCGCCTGTTCAGCGTGCACCCTGCGCCGCGCCCCGACGACGTCAACTGGCCCGCCCTGCAGCGCAGCTGGTGGCAGCGCACGGTGCGCGGGCAGCCCGCCGCTGCGCGCGCGCCTTTGCTCGGCTTTCGCCACGCCTGCCTGCTCCGCCTGCTCCTCGCGACCGCGCTGCTGCCCCAGCCTCAACGCCGCACGCCCGTGCTGCCCTGCCCCATCCGTCCCCCATCCTCGCCCCCTGCCCCACAGATGCGCCCGCTGTACGCGCTGCCCATCATCCTATTCTTCATGCTGCTGCCCATCGGCATGTTCACCGGCGCTTTTGCCCAGCTGACGGTGGCGCTGTGCGGCAACCCCAACGACCCCGCCTCCCGCTCCGGCAGCTGGTACTGCAGGTGATGGAAGCTGGCGGTGATGGCACTGCCGTGGGGGGGCATGGGCTGGCTGTTGTGTGTGGTATTGGGGGGAAGGGAGGCGCCTGGGCCTCGCCTTCCGATGGCCTGCCTCAGCACTGCCGCTGCGACGCATGCATTCACCCTGTTCCCGCCCTGTTCCCGCCTCCAGCGACGACCCGTGGGCCACCTTCATGCGCAACGCCCTCACCTCCCTGGCCCCCTCCATCGTGCTCTCCATCTACAACATGTGAGCCAGCGCCAGCCAGCTGGGCAGCAGCGCCAGCTTGGCGCTCGCTAGGCGCCGCCACCCCACGCGCCGTGGCCCTCACTGCTCACATCGTGCGGCCTCCGTTCCCGCTCCCGCCTCGCTGTGCGCTGTGCCCGCGCTGCACATCGCACTGCACCGCAACCGTACCGCACCGTGCCGCACCGTACCTCCTGCAGGGTCTTCCTCCCCGTCATGGTCTACTACGCGGCCCAGATGGAGGGCCAGCACGTGAGCCTGTCGGCGCTGGACCGCCGCTGCGCCGACCTCTTCTTCTACTGGGACGTCTTCAACGTCTTCCTGGGAGCCCTGTTTGGAGGCACGGTGCTGGCGGAGCTCAAGACCTTCCTGCAAGACCCCTCCTACATCTGGTGCGCCGCCCTGGAGCGCCGCATGCAGTGCAGTCAGCGCTGCCGCGGCGTTTGCGGCACGTTCCTGACCCGCCCAGCGCCCCCTCTTGCCCTCCTGCCAGGTCTGCGCTGGGCAGCGCCATCCCCGCCGCATCCAACTTCTTCATGTGAGCGCCTGGCCGGCTGGGGCTTGCCTGGCACAGAGCAGCGCGCAGCTGCAGCTCTGGCCCCTCCAACCGCTCAGCTGAAGGACCATGGGCCCTTTCTGTGCCGTCCCTGACCCTGTGCCCTCCGTCCCTTCCCTCCTGTCCTGTTGTCGGTACTGCAGCAATTACGTGATGTACCGCGCCCTGGTCATGTCCGCCTTCCGCCTGCTGTACCCGCACCAGGCCATCATGCCCGCCATCCTCAAATGGCTCCGCATCCTGTCACGTCAGTCGCCGCCTGACACAGCGCTGGCAACGAGCTTTTCGGCTTGTTTGGTTGGTCAAGGCCCGCTGGCCCCTGCTGGACTCCTGGAGCTGACCGTCGCTATGCCTGCGGTGCCTTGCTACCCTCTGTCCTGCAGGGGCCAAGACCCCACGGGACAAACTGATGGAGGTGCCGCCACGCAACTGCCGCTACGGCCGCGACATTGGCATCCCGGTGAGGCGCCTCCCGCGCGCGTGGGCTGCCAGGCTGCCGCCGGCCCTGGCGAGCATGCCCGCGGTGGGCCCGCTCGACCGCCGTGTGGTGTGTACCGCGCCACCACGGTTGGTGGTGCGCCAACCCTGTGTGTGTGTGTGTGTGTGTGTGTGTGTGTGTCACACCTGGCCTGCAGGTCCTCATGAACTTTGTCATGGTCTGCTCCATGTGCATCACCAGCCCCCTCATCCTGCCCTTCGGCCTGCTCTACTTTGTGGGCCTGTGGGCGGTGTGGCGGTACCAGGCCCTGTACGTCTACCAGCGCCAGTACGAGAGCGGCGGCCAGGTGCGGGCTGCACGCTCCAGCAGGCGCCTGCGCTTGCCCCCACGCGCGTGCCGCGCTTGCTTGCGGGCGTGGTGGGCTGAGCTGACCTGCCGACATCTGATCACATTTTTCCTTCCACCTCCTGCGCAGTTTTGGCCGCTGGTGGCGCACAAGGTGGTGGGCTGCCAGTTCATCATGGTCGTGTTCACGGCCTGCGTGCTGCTGTTCAAGGTGCGGGGCAGCGCCTGGGCGGGCTGCTGCGGTGCGCTCGCATGGGACGCAGGCCAGCGCTGGTGGCCAGCCCCCGGCCTGCTGCCGACGAGCCGCGGCTGCCTGCTGCGTGCAGGGCGGCTACACCCAGGCGGCCCTGCTGTTCATCACCCTGCCCATCTACCTGCTGCGCTTTGACAAGTGAGCGCCTGGGCGCTTTGCGTGTGCACCACGCCTGAACAACCGGCAGTGCCATGTGCGTCTGATCCTGTCCTACCTGCTCACCCGCTCTCATCCCTGTCCCCTGCCGCAGCTACCTGACCAAGCGGTACGATGATCTGGTGCGGCAGGTACCGCTGATGGCGGTACACTCGGCGGGACGCAGCACCGTGCCTTCAGACATCTACACGCCGCCGCCGCTGCGCCCCGGCGGCCAGGGCTGGCACCCCGAGTGGTGAGTGGGTTGAGGGGTGGCGTGGTGCGGGCCAGGCATGAGCACGGGAGGAGGGGGCCGGGGGCAAGGATTCTACCATTTGCCGGCCATGCGAACAGTGCTGTTGCTTGTCTGCCTGTTGCAGGGGCAAAGTGTGGCAGCACTGGGGCATTGGCCGCTACACGATATAGCCGCACAAAGTGAAGATCGGCTCCCGTGCCAGCAGCTGCGCCCCGGCACGAATGTGAATGCCATTTTTTCGAGATACTGCCTGCTGATACTGTGTGCCGGGAAATTCCTCCGGCAGAGAGCGCAAGCTGGACATAACGTTCCATCTTCTTTCCTGCATTCTTCCCTCTTTCTACATGTTGCCAGCGTTGCCCCTCCCCCCCCCCCCCCCTCTCTTCCCCGACTTGGTCTCTGTACTGTGCTCATGACTCGGCTCGGACCTGTGTTTGCTCCCAGGCAGCTCAGCTCTCATTTCATCTACTCCCCTCCCATTTTTCTTGCAAGGCCAGGCTGCACAGATTGAAGCTGGGTGGTGGCTGGATAGGTCGAGGAGGCACTCCCAAAACTCATGAAAAAAACACACGCAGTGGCGGTGGTACTCAGGGATTCGGCCAGCCCAGCGCTGCAACCACCTTCTCTGCCGCAGATGGGCCAACCACCACTCTGGAGGCCGGCAGCGGCAGACCAGCAATGACCGCCTGCACCTGCGTCGCATCCCTGCACACAGGAGGTAGATCATGCAGCAGCAAAGATCACGGGTGGCGCGGCAGCGACCTCTTCTTGTAATAAGGACACGGCGCTGCCTGGCTGCACCCCGCGCTCACCTCTCCGCCGCCTCCAGCAGCCCCTGAAGGCTACCAAACTGCACCGCTGTTGCGTATGCCGCCTCGGCGCTCACGCCGGGTATCGCCAGCTGCGCACGCATGAGCGCCGCCTGGGAGCCGTCACGGGGGATACCGTACTTGGTTAGAAGCGCTTCCAACCGCTGCCGCTTGTCCTGGGCGAGCGCTGAGTCCGGCAGCACAGAGAGGTAGCTGTGTGTGCCCTGCAGTGCACGGTGAACATGCCATCACACCGGGAGACAGACACAGGTGTGCTTCCCAGACACAGGTGCGCTAGAATAGCTCCGCATTGCCACCAGCAGACAGTGTCATCTGCGGCTTACCGTGGACTTGTAGCCCTCCTCTGCCACCGCCCGCGTGACACGCCATACATGCTGCGCTGCCTCATCCACGCTGGTGGCATTGCAAACGGCCACATCAGGCCGCCACACCGCCAAATCCGCCACCACTTGCCACAGCCGCTCCCGCATGCCCTCCGCAGCTGCCATGCTGCGGCTGCTGCTGCCTGCAGCGTCTGCTGCCGCGGGCACACATTTGCTGATGGCATCCCAAGTGAGGAAGTGCAGGCGATATCCCGGGTGCGCTGCCTCGGCAGCGTGCATCAGGGTGCTGAGGCCGTCGGCATCGAAAGCCCTCACAAACTCTTGTGGCTGCAGTAACTCGAGAGCAGATGAATTGCCATGATGAGTCGCTGAGTCATTGTGGCAGTGAAATGATTGGCGATTCGTTCAGCATTCACTGCCAGAGAGGTTTGACAGGCAGCCAAACGCACCGTGAGACACAACATGATGTGCCGAGCAGGAACACCGCCGACCCGCCACTTGACTTCTCGCCCATCATGTCCAGCTGCCAGCTGGCCTTCAGAGGCTGCCAAACGGATGGCGGGGCACCTGAGGGTGCCGTCCTTGGCCCTTTGCTCGAGTACTTGCGGTCGCTGCTCGCAGAGGGCTGTGCAGGGAAACCCGGCGCCGGCGCCCGGCGTGTCAGGACGCTGCAAAGCCCCAGCCATGGCAGCGGCCCTTTGTTCACTGGTGCATGACCTTCCTGCACTCACTCTGCACTTTCTGGCCCAGCTTGGTGCGGCCGTGCAGCAGGGAGGGACCCAACACCACCACGACGTCGAGCGGGCGAGTCATCCCAAGGCGTGCGACGCGACACCTCTGCAGCCTGTTTTGAGTAAGGAAATTCCGGTGCAAGCCCTTTCAGAGATAATGCGCGTGGCCACGGTGGCAAACTGCTGGCTAGGCAGCCTCATGAGCCTCTCTCCGCTTCATGGCACGCCCCCAATGTCTGTCGATCGCCGCACCTGTTATTCCTAGCGTCCACTGGAGCTGATCTGACATGCCAAGTCCTACTTACAGACCGCGGCGTGGGAGTGTGCCCTACGCCAGCCTTCTGGCTCTGTATCAGGTGGGCATGGAAGAAAAGAGGAGCGCCCCATGCGACACTGCCGGGAAACAGTGGTTGCCAGCGGCAGTTGCGGCACCCGCTCGCGTGCCGGCATACCGGCGGCGAGGTTTGACCTGCTGTGTCATTCGATTTGCTGCAGGCGGGAGCATGCCCTTCTGGCAGACGGGGGGGGCTGAAGAAAGATGCACTGGCGGCCCTTGTGGAGGAGCAGGGGCGGGCCAACCTGTCGCCAGGAGACCGCAGTAAGGCCGCAGGCGCACGTTGCGTTTCATTAGTCGACACCTGTTTGCGCGGTTTCAGCGCAGAAGATCCGAAGAACACCTCACAAGCTCAGCCACACACGCAAATCTTGCACTTTTGGCATGCCGCAGGCAAGACCATACGGGTGAACGGCAACCAACGCGTGGCGCCGACGGCCATGGACTTTGCCATGAGAGACCTAAACAAACACAAGGATGCGCTGGTGAAGTTCAGCGGCAGGAAGTGGGCCCTGCTGGAAGCGGTGAGCTGGTAGGCGGGGCGGTCATTGTACGGGCGTGGCAGCACTGAGGCGAAGCAATTGCTGCCCGCGCCATTTTCTTCATCGTGAATGTACCCTGGCAGCACGACTTGCTACATGATGCTCCAGCCTGACGCTGGCTGCCACACTTGGCTACCACACCTCCTTGCCTCCAGGGCGAAGCGGTTGCGAGGCGGATCTGCCTGGCCGAAGGCATTCCTCTGCCAGCATTCGATGCGCACCACGAGCAAGCAGAGCAGCAGGCCCCGCAGCAGCACCAGGCGCAGCAGCAACAGCAGCAGCAGCAGCAGCAGCAGCAGGAGCAGGTGGCAGCGTCACAACGTAGAACACCCAGCGCCGCCCGGGAACCTCGGCGTAGAGCCGTGGCAAGCCCTGGCACGCGCAGCGGCGGCCAAGGGGCGCACCCCACCAGGCCCGCAGCCGCAGCAGCAGGCTTGGCAGCTCTGAGCAGGCAGCAGGAGTTTGAGCAGGCGCGGCAACAGCAGCAGGCCCGACAGGAAGGCGGTTACAGCACGCCACATGGCGCCGCTGCGAGGCCTCCTGACCAGCCCTACCGCTCTGCTGGTTCCAAGCGCAGCGCCCCGGAGGCAGAGGAGGTGGTTGACTTGGTGGGACCAGGCTTTGGGGCTGCCGCCGCTGCTGCCACCGGGCCGCGAAGACGGCACCGCTCTGGAGCAGCCCTTGGCAGTGCAGGCGCAGCCGCGGGTGGTGGCGCTGAAGCAACAGAGCCTGTGATTGATCTTTTGGACTCAGATGACGAGGAGGACAGTGGCGCCGCCGCTGCCCGTCGCCGTGGGCTGCAAAGACCCACAAGCCAGCTCTATGAGCAGCAGCAGCAGCAGATGCAGCATGAGGAGGAGCATCAACAGTGGCAGCTGGAGGCTGTGCAGCGGCAGCAGCGTCAGGAGGAGACGTTAGCAAGGAACCTGGCTGCTGCCTTTGGACTCCCCGTCGATGAGGCAGCCGCAGTCTTGGCTCAGCACAGAGGCGACCAAGATGCAGCAACTGATTTTATCCTCACTGGCATGGGTGCTTGCCAGGCTCTGCAGGCAGCATCGGTCGGCGTGCCTCGGTCACGCGGCAGGCAGGCCGTTGAACGTCCCGCTATGCCGCCAGCACTTGCTGCTGAAGCAAGACGCCCACCAGCAGGAGCGGCAGCAGCTGCGGGCACGGCTGAAGCTGGCAGGGTGCAGCAGCAGCAGCAACACCAGCCGCCGCCGGCAGGAGTGCTGAGCGGCGGGGCATTCGATCCTGGAGCAGCCTGGCCGGTGCAGCAGCAGCAGCGGCTGGATCTCCCTCCGCTTCTTTCTGGCCAGACCTTTGTCGAGGCGTACGAGTTGGTGCTGCTGGTGGACAACCGTGAGCGGCAGGGGGCACAGCAAGGGCTGGGCCAGCTGCTGGCATCGCTGCGGGAGCGGGGCGTGGCCGCCGAGGCACGCCACCTGCCGGTTGGGGATGCGCTCTGGGTGGCACGCGCCAGGTGTGTGGCCGGCTGCACCGCAGCGGGTTGGGTGGTAGTGTCCTCCCTGTACGAATGCACACACACGTCCAGCACAACCGCACGATAGCACTCACTCACCCCACCCGTCTTGCCCGTTCGCTGACTGCAGGCGCTGCACCCCAGCCGCCGCCGCCGCTGCTGCCGCCGCGAGTGGTGTGGCGGAGGGCGAGGAGTGGGTGTGCGGGTACGTGCTGGAGCGCAAGAGCAGCGCAGACCTGCTGACCAGCATCAGTGATGGTCGCTACCTGTCGCAGAAGTGGCGCATGCTGCACTGCGGCCTGCCGCACCGGCTGTACCTGGTGGAGCTGGAGGGTGACTACAGCCTGAGACCCAGCAACAAGCAGGTGAGGGGTGTGCATGCTGCTGTCTGCTGTGGGTGGCTGGGTGCAGGGCAATTTTGTGCGGCCGGACGGGACGATTCCATTCTCCTACACCTGAATGGATGTTGAGCCTGCCTGCCCCGTCCCGTCTGTCTCTCATGCCACGGTGCAGGCGGTGCAAACCGCCCGCACCACGACCCAGGTGGTGGATGGCTTCACCGTTCTGTACAGCAGGAGTGAGCATGCCTTGCTTCCTGCCCCTGACATGCTGGTCGGTGGGCGTCCGTGGACCGTGGGACTCCCTGAGCCACCCCAACTGCTTCCCCAGCCTCAACTGACAGCAATTCACTGATTGGGTCAATATTTATGCATGTTGTGCTGTGCTGTGCTGTGCCGTGCTGTGCTGTGCTGTGTTGCAGCCTACAGCGACGAGCGCTTCAGGCCCAACACCCTGGACTGGCTCACCAACCTGACACGCAGCATTGCAACAAGATACGCCCATGAGGCCCGGTTGGCACGAGGCGCGTGGCAGCGGCACAGCGGCGGCTGGAGGGTGGTGCGCATGCGCTGTTGCTGCAGTGGGCGCCAACCTAGGTGGTGCGACCGCCGCTGTACCTTCTGCCGTGCCTTCCGCGTGCAGGTGTGTGTGGCAGCAGCAGCGGCGGCCTGCCTGCTCGCCCCATGACTTATTCCGAGCTGGGCGAGGGAGTGAAGCAGGAAGAGGAGCAGGCGCTGAGCGGCAGCGCCCAGTGGCAGCTGATCCTCATGTCCACCCCAGGTGGGGCCGTGTTAGCCCCTGCAACCTGTACGCCGGCCCAATTGCATGGGTGCCATGATGCTGCTGGGATCTTCGATGCCGCTGGTGGGATTGACAAGTGGAAGGCACCATCCGCATCTCTGCCCTGCAGGCGTGGCTCTGAGTGCTGCCGAGGCCATCTCCCAGCGTTACGCTACCCCTGCCGCCCTGCTGTGCACGGCGCGACAGGCAGGGCGTGCCGGCCTGGCTGCACAGCTGGCCACGCTGCGTTGCTCTCGGGGAGGTGGTACCGTCATTTCCGAGGCCGCCGCCAGCATCCTGCTGCAGCAGCTGTTCCCCGGCCAGCAGGAGCCCCAGCCCCTGCGGCAGCAGCAGCAGCAGCAACATCACCAAGTGGAGGTTCTGGAGATTAGCGACAGCGACTGACCGACAGAAACTAGGCGGCGGGACGGGGGATGCGCGCCGCCACCGTCATGCCCGGCAACAGCTGTGGTCACCCCCCATGAATGCCTGCCTGTCAATGCATGCCATTGCAAACAAATACCAATGAAGGGGGAAGCAGCAGCAGATTGTTTGAGAGGAAGGGGGCAGCTGACGTGGCGTGCGCCTGGCGGCGGCAGCAAAGCAGCTTAAACCGGGGCAATTCGCATTCGCATCGGTCCTTCCAACCCCACTCGGCTTCATATCCAAGCCTCAACTTGGGCCATAGCGCTGGCCACCATCAACCCTGATCGGACCTGGCGCCCAGCCGCCCCAGGAGGCCCAGCCTTGATCGTGCGCGCCTGACACTGGGGCTGCCGGCATCAGCAACCTGCCTACGTTCTAGTGTACATCGGTCGCCGCGGACGCTCCACCGCCCACTGCCGAGGCGCTGCCCCCAGCCCCTGCCAAGATGATGCCGCTGGTGGAGGCCCCGTTCTGCGACGAAATGTATGCCACGTGTTTGGACAGGGTGGCCACCATCAAGGACGCTTCCGCGCCTGTCAAGGACCGCATCGAGGCCATTCAGCTCATGCATGGCGACGCGGGTGCGGCGGCAAACCGCGGCCTGCTACTGAGGCCCAGTGCATTGGACCCAGCACGCCCCCCCATGCCTCGCCCTTCACGATCCCGGCACAATGGTGCAGGGTGGGGCGACAATGGACGCGAGGCGATGCGGGCCGGTGCCATCGAGGCCCTGGTGAGGCGCACCAGCGGGTGCCAGGCTTGGTGCCACACCGAGTGGCTGCAGGCACAGCTGCGGCCTGGCGTGGCCACCTTACAGCCAGCCACCCCGCCTGCCTCTGCTGCCCTGCAGGTGGAGGTGGCCACGGATGGGTGGCCCCAAGGCGGCGACCTGGCCTCCTCCAGCTGCCCCTATGATGAGGTGATCGAGGTGGGCACAAGCACAGGGCAGGAAGAGGAGGAGGAGGAAGAGCAGGAGTATCGGTGCAGGCACAAGAGGAGCATGCGGCGCGTGGCCATCTGCTGCCTGACCGAGATGGGAAACTACCAGCCCCTGGCGCTGCGCATGGCGGCGGCGGGGCTGCTGGACAGGGGCCTGCCAGACATGATCCGAGACTCGCTGGCAAGGTGAGACGGGCGGGGAGGCGGGCAGGCAGGCACATGGACAGATGGCAGGCAGGCAGGCAGGCACCAGCTGGCTTGGCACGCTCTGCCCAACCTCGCTGACTGGGCCCTGCTGCCCGCCTGCTGCCGCCGTCTGCCCCCCGGGCAGGTATCGCTACGGCCAGTCTCTGCGCAGCATGGAGGAGAGTGCAGACCAGGTGCAGCACATCGCAGAGCGGCTGCTCAACCTGTGCGCCAGCCTGGTCGGCGCGCCGGGCAGCACAGACCAGCAGGTGAGCGCCCCGCCCATCCCAGGCCGCCGTGTGGTGCGGGCAACCCCCGTCCCTCAACCCCACGGCATCCGCCGCACCAGCCACGCTCGCTGCCTTGAGCGCAGGTCATGGCGCGGTGCGGCGACGTCATTCTGGAGGGCTACGACGCCTTTGCCCGTGTGGCAGCCGCCTCCGACCTGCACCCCGGCCAGGACGGCGCCCACCTGCGGCACGACCCCGAGTGGGCGGATGCCGGCTCCCAGGATGACTGTGGCCTCCGCATGCCCAACCCCCAGCCCGAGAACTTCCTCCGCTTCTGGGGCAACGGCCTGCGGTGGCTGGGCAGCCCCGCGGAACAGGCGAGGCAGGGGTGGGATGCCAGGCAGCAGCCACGCTGCCGGCATGGCTCCCTCCTGCTCCCTTCCTTGCCTCAAAGCTGCGTGACCGACCGCTTCGAGTCTGTCTGGTGGTGCAGGACCGACTGGTGGCCAAGGGGCTTGTGGGCAAGCTGCGGCAGACCGAGGCCTCGGGGGTGTCGTGCAAGAGCATGGTGCTGGCAGCGCTGGAGCCGACATGGGAGCGGTGAGGCTGGGCGGGCAGCAGGGCGACACCCGGCTGGTCCAGCAGGCAGCTGCATACGCAGGGGCGCCGGCCGTCAGCACACTGGCCGGCGCTGCTGCTGCGTGGTGCAGGTACAGCGCGCGGGAGGCCAAGAAGGCGGCCAGCGAGCTCAAGGAGGTGACCAAGGCGGGGAAGTCGGCCAGGCACCTGGGCAATGAGGCCTTCCAGTGAGCGGGCCGGCCCCCGGTGCCTGGCGCACAGATGGGATGGGCCACTGGCGGCCTCCTTGGATTGCCTCTGCTCATGTGGCCGCCCTGCCCCCATGGCACCGCGCGTTGGCTCCTGCAGGGCTGGTCAGTACGAGGAGGCTGTGGCGCAGTACGAGCAGGGCATCGCCGCCACCCCGCAGGACCCTCAGCTGTTTGGCAACATGTCGCTGGCGCTGCTGCGCCTGGAGCGATTCAAGGAGTGAGCTTGGGTGGCAGCTGGGGCATGGTTGCCTGTGCCTGCCTGTCGTCCTTGAGCAGTGCGTAGCGGGGAGGAGCATGGGGCGCTGTGCCAGCTGTGCAACAGCTCATGCCAAGCATGCTCGCCTGCGCAGGTCGCTGGAAGCGGCGCAGGCGGCCACGCGGTTTGACCCCACGCGCCCCAAGTTCTGGGCCCGCATGGGCGACGCGCACCGGGCGCTGGGCCAGCACGCCTGCGCGCTGCTGTGCTACGAGCAGGCCGCCAAGCTGGCGCCGCGGGACGAGGAAATCCAGCAGAGGTGCGGCGCTGTTGCCGCCGATGCTTCGACTGCGCCGGCCAGGATGGCACGGCCCCTCGCTCTGCGGTGTATCTGCGGGTGCTGCTCGTCCAGCGCACGTCAGACTGCCGCTGGCCCTGCGCCGCTGCTGGTGGTGCAGGAAGGATGCGGCCGAGGCGGCGGTGGAGCCCGCCGAGCAGCTGCGTGTGGCTGAGCTGCCGAGGCAGCAGCAGATCTACCAGGACGAGGCCTGGCTGCAGAGCCTGGCTGATCGGTCGCCCGACGAGCTGGCTGAAGTGATGGATGAGGAAGTGGAGTGAGTGAGCGGCGGGCAGCCCCTCTCACTGCTGCTGCCGCCGTCGCTGCTGCAGCGGATGGCTGCACACCGCCCATTGGTGGCGCCACCTCCTGCCCCGCCGCTGGCCTGCTTGTCGTGCCCAGGCAGGGCAGGATGCCCGTCACCTTGCTCCGTCATTCCGACAGGCGTCCCGTGCACGCCCCTCCGACCTGCCCCGTGCAGCAAAGCGACGCGCAAGCTGCTGGGGCTGGCCCCCGACGGCACAGAGGACTGGCGGCACACGCCCCGCGGCATGTTCCTGGACAAGATCGGGCCCCTGCTGGACCTGGCGGAGTCGGCGGCGACCGCGGGCAGCGCGCCCGCAGGCCTGGGCCAGTGGTGTGCGAGCTGGTCTGACATGCCTCCCATGCTGGACCAGAAGGGGCCGATGTTCATGATCAGGTAGCGGGCGGCTGTGGCTGCTCGCCCACCAGGCCAGGATCCTGCATCTTGCTGCCTGGAGATGCACAGGATGGGGCTTGCTGCTGTGGTGCTCTCATGGGGGCGGCAAGCCGCTTCGGCAACGCTTGCCGCCGCCTGCCTGCCTGCGTGGCATGTCTGACCTGCCCGCCCAGCGCCCGGCTGCCTCGTGCCCGCCCTGCAGCGTCATGTGCGACCACGAGCAGCGCATGAGCATGCTGCGCCAGGGCCGCCCCACCGCGCCCCTCATCGTGCAAGCGCTGAAGCTGGGCATGACGCACCCAGAGATGCCCGACAGTGAGCGGCGGCGGCAGCTTGATGTGTTTCCAGCAGCGCCAACGGCCGCGCGCGCTTGCCCATGCCGCGCTGTCGCCGCCAGGCCGCCTGCTGATGCTGCCCTCTCCTGGCTGGTGCTGATGCTCCCGGCGGCGTGCCCGCGTGTGCAGGCCGGCCGGAGCGGCCGCTCCGCGTTCTGGTGGCGCACAGGATGAAGGCTGAGTATGCGGCTGTGGAGGCGGAGATGCGGCGCCTGGGGGTGATGTGCCAATTGGAGACCAGGTGGGTGAGAGCGGGGAGGGTGGACAGGGTGGCTGGGCTGTCGAGCGTGGTTGCGTGTGGTGGAGTGGGAGAGTGATGGGGTGGTGTGCCACCGACTGGACCCTGTGCGCCCCCCGGGGTGTGCAGGGAAGAGGCGCTGGCGAGCGCGGCGGCGCACGGCACCAACGCCGACGGTTTCAACTTTGCCGACAAGGACGAGGCCTGAGGAGCCTGTCCAGCGGGCCAGCCTAGCAGCCGTTTTACAAGGCTGATGATCACACACAACCATTTCGCTACAGCAAGTGCACTGATAGGAACGTCAGAGATGATTGGCAAGTAGAATACAAAGGAATTGCAACATTAAGGCAGGCAGACTTCCAGTCAAAAGGTGCAAGCATTGTCGACCTGTTCCATGGCATCACGCATCGGGCCGACGGGCATCGGCCATTCAGGCCGACGGGTCAGAGAGTGCGGCCTCGCTCCAAGCGCTGGGGATCGGGTTGGGGCTCACTCGCCGCCGCCACCACCGTCTACACAAGGCGTAAATTAAAAGGAGAAAAGAGTGCCAGGCAGCTGTCAGGCGCATGAGGAGTGTTGCCACCATCCCTGCAGGCTTGCCCCGAGCTGCATCTGAGCGCTGCCGCGCGCATCGCCCCGAGGCACCACACAATGCGCTCCTGGCAGATCCGGCGGCAGCAAGCAGGGAGAAGCAGGCGGCGCGGGCAGCACACTCACCGCCGCCGCAGTCCCCGCCGCCGCAGTCTGGCGTCATCATGTCTGCGATGAGCAGGCCGCCCAGCAGGCCCGCGCCGCCGCCCAGCATGGCCGCACCGCCAGCGCCCATGCCCGGCCGCCTGCCGTACCGGCCCTGCTGCTGCTGTTGCGGGTAGTAGCCTGCATGCGTGGTGGCCAGGAAATCGGGTGAGTGGCAGGTGTCCCTGGGTTGAGTTAGTGGCAGGTGTCCCTGGGACGGCTGCCAGGCATGCTGACAGTCGAGTGTTGAGCGGTGCGCACCTTGCGGCGGCATGGCCCCCACAGGTGGGGGATAGCCGTAGGGCTGCTGCTGATAGCCTCCGGGCTGCTGATAAGCCCCAGGAGGGGGGTAGCCTCCTGGCTGCGGGTATGCTCCAGGGTAGGACTGAGCTGGTGCCATGTTGTACTCTGGGGGAGGGTAGCTGGGCTGGCTGTACGAGGGAGCCATGTAGCCACTGTGCCCGCCCGCAGGGTAGCCGTGTGCCGCGCCGGGGTACATGGCAGGAGCGGTGTTGTAGTGGCCCGGCTTGGGCTTGGACTGAGCGGGCGGGTAGCTGGATGGACCAGTGGCGGCATAGCCCTGTGGGCCGCCAGGATATGCAGAGTTGTGGTCGGGCGCCGTCGAGGGCGATGAGCAACAGCTGCCCTGCGGGCGGCAAGCGAGGCGGGGGCGGTTGGTCGGCAGCAGCACACTTGGGCGCGAGCAGTAGCAGCGGCGCCGGCGGTGCCAGACGCCGGCGGTGGCGGCAAGTGCAGGCGGGGCCCGTTGGGCGGCAGCATCGCAGCGGCATGGAGGCGGCAGACCGAGCGCAGCAATTCGCCGCGTTTGGGAGTTCCCTCCAGCAGCTTCCCGCGCATCGCCGCGTCGGCCTGCAGGCACTCTAAACCTCACACGAGCAACAGGCAGGCCTGGACGCCGCCTCACCATTGGGATGTGCTCGGGTAGAGTGCCCGCGCTAATAAAGCACCAGTTGAGGTTCCAAGTGCTGGATTGCTCGAAGCGTGTGGCCAAGCCGGTGGTCTACCGCAACCCTTTGTGGCAGGGATGTGGGCAGCACACAAAAGTGGAATTGGCGCGGGCTTCTACAGGTTGGAAGGTCAGCACGGGCCCCGCTGGCGCCCAGCGGGAGGCGCCAAGCATGATTTAGGAAGCCCTGCAACAGAATGTGACCCCGAACAAGAGTAGAGACATGTAGCAGCAGATGTATAGCAGTGGGGAATTAAATTTCAAAAGAATGGGATCACGGCCTGATCAGACGGGCGCCCCGCTGGCCAGCAGCAGCGGGCGCTCCAGCAGCGAGTCGAGGCCATTGGCAATGTCCTGCTGCACGCCGCCGCTGCCCCTGCCCAGCCAGGACCCGGCGGCATGGGCCAGGTCGCGCCGCGTGATGATGCCGCGCGCATAGTTGCGCTCATCGACGACCGAGATGTGCCTGCATGCAGCGGCGGGCGGCGGCGGCAACAATCGGCGATCTGCCGCATGCCAGGCCACCCACACAATGCCAAGCCACCCACGCAGGTAGGCCCATGCATACACCCTCCCATTGCCAGGCACCTGAGGGACAGGCTGACAAACATGGCGTGCACGCGAGTGGCAGGCGTCTCCAGGCGCACGGTGGCCGGCGCACGGTTTAGGTAGGGTGCCAGGTTGATGTGGGGCGTCACCGCCTGCGCAGGCCAGGTGGGTGCACGGCGTGGTGGGGCGCTTCACGAGCCTCCCGCATGCACCGGCGGGTGCCACGCCAGGGACAAGGCTGGCGGTCTGGCATGGGCCGCAGCCCAGATCAGACTTGCCTGGTTGTCAAAGGGCGACGGATGCTCCGCCAGGGCCGCCGACCCGGCGCTGCCGCCGGCCAGCGTCAGCAGGCCCGGCTGGCTGCTGCCGTTTGCAGCGCACTCTGCCAGCGCCCGCAGCAGCGAGGGCCCGCCACTGGGGTGGTGCTGCAGGCGGGCGGCCATGGCGGCAGCCACCTGGCGCTCAAAGCCCTCCACGCTTCGCGGCTGGTGCAGGTAGCGGCCGTGCTGGTCACAAAACACGTTCTGCTGAAGCAGGAGCTCCACCTGGCTGCGCATGATGAAGCCATCCAAGCGGAAGGTGCCCGCCTGCGGCACACCAGGCGAGGAACGCAGTGGCAGCTGGGGGTCGTGGGAGCAGGCATATCAGGCGGACAGCAGGGGCGGACGGTGTGGTGCAGGCCAGGGAATGAAGAGGCCAGGCAAGCGGGTCTGCCTCTCACCTGCGGGTCGCGGTGGCGAGGGTCGTACACAGGGAAGCCGTTGTGCGCCGAGGAGCGCAGCAGGCTCTGGGCCGCCGCCGCAGGCACCACGCAGGGCAGCCCGTCCACCGGCGAGCTCATCACCTGCTCCGCCGTCAGCCGGCGCAGCCTGCGGGGCGGTTGCTGCACCAGACGCGAGCGGAGCGGCGGTCGCTCAGATCGGGACCACGGCAGCACCACAGGGGGGCTGCGGCAATGAGGCATCCCAGTCGCTGCCCCCCTTTCTGCCCACCGAGCCGACCAAACCTGGCGGTGGCACCCACAGTTTACAACAGTACAATATATACCTGGGCGAGGTAGTTGACCTGCAGCTGCGCCTCCAGCTCGCTCTCGTACACCCCCTGGGTCCCGAACACGATTGCCACCAGGTTGCTGACGACCACCGCCACAATGATCCCAAACATCGGCCGAAGGCTGCCCGTCGCCTCCACCATCAGCACCGCCAGCGAGATGCTGCGGGGACATGTGATCCAGTATATAAAAAGATGAGAACGCCTCACCACCGGGGAGGCATGTGCTGCGTGCATGGCCGCAGCCGCGCCTTCTGGCTGCGCACGGCAAGGCCACGGCAGCAGGCCCAGCCCACCTGGTCCTGAACACGCCGCCCAGCGTGGCTGTGGCACTGCACAGGGTGTACAGCCCCGGCTGGATGCCCCAGCCTGGGAGCGCGGCGCGGAGGGCAAAGCCGCAGAGGGTGCCCCAGACCCCGCCCAACAAGAGCGACGGCATGAAGAGGCCCCCAGGGATGGCCAGGGCGGCAGAGAGGGCAAAGAGCGGCAGGTAGGCGGCGCACATTGCGGCTATGCTGGCGAGTGAGTAGTAGCAAGGGGCGCCTGCCGTGCAGGCCTGCGCGCAGCCCATGCGGTGCAGCACGGTTGGCGGTTGGCGGCGGCGTGGCGTGCCAAGGCCGGCCATTCCGCCTCCAGCCTTCCAAGCAAGCAACGCAAGCGCCCACGCACCGCAGGCAGGGGCTCCTGCTCGGTGCCGATTGAGAGCAGGGAGCGAATGCTCAAAACTGCAAGGGGGAGGAGAGAGGGCACACGTTGGCGCAATTGAGAAGAAGATGGGCAGGACGGGGGGAGGCGCAGGCAAGCGCAGTCTTCCACCCTGCATGCCATCTGGCTCAGTGACACGACTGCAGGGTTGCGCAGCAAAGCAGGCACACGTTCCCACCTGGCGGCCCCAGCCAGAGGGTCGCTAAATCGTTGTACTGCCCATCGGGGCAGGTGTGCTGCACCCACGGCCAGTCCGACCAGGCTTCGGGGACCGGCAAGCACCTGCGGCGGCAAGAGAGAGGTGGTGGACCAAAGGCATGGCAATGGCAGGGGTGGAGGGAGAGGTGCAAGGCCCGGGAAGTAGCCAGCGCCCACCTGCCCACTGTTGCTGACAGCGCCGCGACGGTGGAGACGGTGAGGGCAGCCACCACCACCACCTCGCGGATGCGCGCCACGTGGCGCTTGGGCTTGGCCCTCAGCGGCCGTAGTGCCAGGCGCAGCTTGTTGAAGGCAGCGCCAAGCAGGGCGCCGCCCACGCTGACTGCCGCCAGCAGCGGCAGCTCCTGCAGCCACCCCCAGGGCGTCATCTCCTGGAGCGACACCGACAGCAGCCCCCGCTCCGAAAACGGATTGAACTGGGCGCCCATGAAGACTGCAGCAGCGGCAGAGGCAACAGGCCATCAACAAGCCAGGCGTTGATGGATGCATCAACAAGCCAGGCGTTGATGGATGGACCCGCTATTGCACCCGTGGCGCGGCCTTGCCTGCGACGGCAGAGGCGACGAAGCAGCGCCATGCCACCCGGCTGTTCCACACGCTGGTGGCCTCCTCAAGGGAAAACAGGACCCCGCCGATGGGGGCGCCTGCATGCAGTGCGTCAATGGGCTCAGCCGCCGCATGAGCCGCTGCAGGAAGTGCGGTGCAAGGAGCTGCCAAGGCAGACAGCTCCTGCTGCAGCAGCGGGGGGGTAGCTGTGGGGGCCCGTCGAGCTCCTCAGCGCACCGAATGCTGCAGCGATGCCCGCCGCCGCGCCGGCGCTGATCATCTCCCGCCGGTCCACGTCCTTTGGGTTGAAGGGCGCCGTGACCAGCTGCAGCCCTGCCTCATCTTTGGGCAGAGGCGCACCGCGACCCGCGATGACTGCCATCAACCAGCGCTTCCGGGACAGCACCGCCCACAGCCCTGCAGGTGACCACACGAGCAGGCGGCGGCGGCGTCACAGGCTGGCCGGCAGTCAGCTGCATCTGTGCACACATCTGCACACACGCAGCTCTGTGCTGCCACCTGCATGCCACCTGCCGACAATGGACCGGGGCCCGCGCTGCGCAAAGCCCCCACACTCACGTCGATCGGCATTTGAGGCCATGGAGGCGATGCAGGAGCCCAGGTGCACCATGGGCGCCTCCACACCCAGGCACATGCCGGCCCCCATCATCGCCACGCTGCCGACAAACTTGACGGCAAAGACCAGGGGAGAGAAGAGGCCGTGAATGTCATTGCCATTCAAATATGCCATCACCCAGACTATGCCCCCCCCCGCCTGCACGCGGCGCGAGGAACTGCACCGCCACCGCCCCCGCCGCCGCCAGGCTGCAGCAGATGGCAAGGTGCACGCCGTACGCCTGCAATGGATGCCAGGAGTGGAGGCAGGCGGTGAAGCGGGGTAGCAGTGGCCAGGAGTGGCGGCAAGCACAGGGCCAGCCGTAACCTCGGACCTGGAGTGTGCTGCGGACGAAGAAGAACCGCAGGGCAGCATTCCGCCAGCCCACCAGCGCCTCAATGGCCGCCTGCAGAGCTGTGGCTGTGGCGCCGATGGCCATCGCCGCCAGCATGGTGCTGACAATCTTGATGAGGATGCGGGCATACCTGCAGCCAAGTGCGCAGGCAGTTGGCAAGGTTTTCATGAGGGCAAGTGAGGGATCAGAAACGCGAGGGATCAGAAATGATGACCAGCACGCCCGCACCGGAACCGCTGCATGGTGTCGTTTGCCAACATTGTATCTCCATCCTGCCTGACGGCTGCCTGCATGGCCGCCAGTGGCTCATAATCCAGAGTGTCGGCCACCCAGCTCACAGCGGGGTCCACAATGCGCGGCGCCATCTGCAGAGCAGCAAGGGGTGTGTAAATGGCGTCGCGAACCAATGGGCGGCGGCGGCAGGTGCTGGCATCTCCACCCTGCGCCCTGGCATTTCACAGGCGGTATCATGTCCCCGCATCGCATAACAAAACGCGTGCTGACCTTCGGCTCCAGCGGGATGGGCGGTTTTCCTCGCACCCAAGTTATGTCGGAGGCAGCGCAGGCATCGTCAGTTCGAACTGTAGCAATTACATTGAGACCATTGCTTCACCGACCAACGAGAACAAACATCGATGATGGGGTGCACACAGCTGGCCGCTGATGTGAAGCGCGCACGCCGCACAGCCTGCCTGCCTGTGGGCACCTGTTAGCATGGGGTTACATGTTACCTTCCACAACAATACTGCGCCCATTATGAGGGCACAGGGGAGTCAAGAGGAGCAAAAGAACATATCTGAATTGAGCATGAATGAAACAGAAAGACGGTGGCGGCATTCATTGAGAAGTGAAGAGAGGGGAGGAGGTCACAACGAGACATGCGCTCACTGCAACACACGGCACTGGTGCCTCCTCCCAATTCAGCCGGTGCTTGGGCTCAGGCAGAGGGGCCTGCCGCCGCCGCCGCGGCAGCCGCGGCAGCAGCCTCCATGTCAGCGGCCTCCATGTTTGCCCGCGCCTTCTGCAGCAGGTCCTGCACCTCACCCGGCCGCAGCTCGCCGTGCTGCATGCGCTCCACCAGGGCAGTGGCCTCGGGGCGCCTGCAGATCCAAATGAGGTGGCACAGGGGGAAGGGCTGAGCTGAGCTGACGACACAAGCATGCCCCACCTGTGTTTCTCCCATCCACGGTGCAGCACCAGCTTGCATCTTGCGCATGCGCCAGCCCGCTCTCTCATCCGCCCTCCAGCGCAGAGCGCACCTGAGCAGGCCCCTGACGTTGCGCAGGCCGGTGCCGAAGCAGACGCCGCACACGCGCACGCCGCGGCCGTAGCACTGCGGGCACTCGGTGAACTCGTATGTGTCCTTGGCGCGCTTCCTGTGGAGGCAGAGGGAGAGACACACACACGCTCACACGCACACGCACTGTGTCAGTACGACAGCGCGTGCCACAGCACAGGCAGGGCCGCCAGAGCCTTCAGCGGCATCGCCCATGGTGGGATGACTGTGCAGCGGCCAAAATCGGTGGCAGCCGCTCAGCAGCCTGGCAAAGCAGCCAGCTGGGCCTGCTCTGCAGCTTTCGCGCCCTACCTGCTCAGGGCACGCCACTTGCCGGTGCCGCCGCACATGTCGCAGGCAGTGGCGCCAGTGCCGGCGCACTCACGGCACACACTGGCATCGATCTCAGCTGCCTGTGCGCTGCCGCTGGTGCTCGAGCCTGCTGCAGCTGCTGCAGCCGCTGCGCCGGTGAACACCAGCAGCTGACGGCGGGAGGAGATGAGCGGCGGCGGCGCTGCCTGCTGCTGCTGCGGTGCGGCGGGCGAGTCCTCGCTCTGGGAGGCCGCCAAAGGAGTCAGCTGCCTGCTGCGAGCTACACCCCGGGCCGGCACAGCGGCAAAGGGCTGCAGGGGAGGGAGGGGAGAAGGAGGGGTCACCCACCGCATGCCTACCACATGATCGCGGGGCCTGCCCAGGTCCAAACACCTGCCGCCGCTCACCTTGCTGGGGGCGCAGCCAGGGCCGGCGCTGGTGCGGCAGGTGCACGGCTGCATGGCGTGAGGGTCTTGCACAGCGAGGGGCCTGGGGCTGCACCTGGGTTGGGCAGGCAATGCAAGTTATTTCGAGTGCTCAGAAACCAGCGCATGAAAGCTCCCTGTGCCTGCTGCGGTCTGGCTCAGCACGACAGGATTAGGCCGATCTCATACTTCTGCAGGCCCGCACCAGCGCCGGCAGCAGCCGCAGACCAACGGTAGCCGCTCAGACACCAAAATGGCCGCAGCGATGGCGTCCGCCCTGTCCGCCCGTGTCGGTGTCCGTGTGGCCCGGCCCACCCGCGCCTCCAGCGTGGTTGTGGCGGCTGCTCGCCCCACCTGGTGAGCCAGGGAGGCAGAAAGGCTGGAGTCAGGGGCGCGGGGAGCCAGCGGTCAGCCCAAGCCGGCGGCGGCCCGCCACGTCGCCCTTCCGCCGCTGATCAGCCTGTTCACGTGGAGCACCTGTTCGGCTGGGGCCGCTGGAGTGCTGGATGGCTGCCTGGAGCAGCCGCATGGAGGGCGATACCAGCCAGGCAGAACCCAGAACCAGCAGAAGGATTTCAGTCACCCTCATCTGCGCAGCGCTCCATCTTTTGCCGCTGTGCCGACTGTGCGAGGGTTTTGTTTGTGCGCAGGTACCCTGGTGCCACCCCCCCCAAGCACCTTGATGGCTCCATGCTGGGCGGTGAGCACCCTGATAACACGCAGCAGCAGCCAGGGTGGTGGCGGGGACTGCGGCAGGGGCTTTCCATGCGGCACCAGGTTCAACCTCCCACTCCTCTTTTTTCTCGCCCCGCGTGTGCACCTCCCACTCTTACCGCCCGCAGACTACGGCTTTGACCCCCTGCGCCTGGGCAGCAAGGACAAGGACGTGCTCAAGTACTACCGCGAGGGCGAGCTGACCAACGGCCGCTGGGCCATGGCCGCTGTCGCCGGCATCCTCTTCACCGACCTGGTGAGAGGCTGCGGCTGATGCGGCGCAGGCGGCGGCAACAGCAGCCCCAGGCTGGCTGAGAATCTTGCAGAGCTGCACGGTGTGCTGTGCCTTTGCAGCCGGCCTGGCGTGGCCAGGCTACAGCGTGTCGCCCTTTGCTGATGCTTGGCCCAGCACACCCGCCGACGGTGCCCTGCCTTGACCCGCCCCCTTGCACGCAGGTGGGCCTGGGCCCCTGGTGGGAGGCGGGCGCCAAGGTGGAGTCTTCCTTTGACCTGAAGACCCTGATCATCGTTGAGATCGTGACCTTTGCCATCCTGGAGGGCTTCCGCGCCAAGGCGTACGAGAAGACGGGCGAGACCGGGCTGGGCCCCTTTGCGCCCTTTGACCCCCTCAACATGCGCAGCGACGAGACGCGGCTCAAGGAGCTGAAGAACGGGCGCCTGGCCATGCTGGCCATCCTGGGCTTCAGCAGCCAGGCCGCGGTGCAGGGCAAGGGCCCCATCGAGTGCTTGCAGGCGCACCTGGCCGACCCCGGCCACAACAACAGTGAGTGGGAGGGTTGGGCTGGGAGCACCTTTGGTTCATGCCTTTCCTGGTTCGCGTTTCTGCTCCATGATTGCCGCCATGCCCCAGCCCCGCCACACTTCCACCCCCAGCTTGGCCGCCCGCCTGACCTAGTCCCGGCCGCCTGCTCCCTTCCCACCCGCGTGTGTGCAGTCTTCACCTCGTCTGTGGGCGCGGAGGCCACAGTGGCCGTCATCCTGCTGGCCATGACCCCTTGCCTGATCGAGTCCAAGAACGTGCTGCAGGGCACCGATGAGGATGTGAGGCGCAGCCTGCCCTGCTGGTGCTGTGATGCCCCATGGGCGCCGCTGGGGCGGCGGGGAAAGGCGGCATGGCATGTCTGGGACTGGTGGCCTCCCTGCGCATTCATTCTCCGAACCCCTCCCTGACTGTGTCCCCTGGTGACCTGCTGCAGGAGTTCCGCCCCATCCCCTGGTGAGCAGCTCAGCAGCTTCCCGCCCCGAGCAGTAGGGCGCTGGCTGGCTGCCCGGGTGTGCCAGGGCTCCGCCTCGGGGCGGGCTGTACACAGAGTCGAAAATTTTTATGTCATCTTTTAGGATGAACGGGATGAACTGTTCACCGTGTAGGCCTGTAACTGTTCACAATGCTAATTCCAGCGGCGGCTTGATTCGCGGCGGCTTGTGACATCAGGGTCGGTAGAAGCGGCCTTGCTGGTTTGGTGGCAGCCAGAACCCAAACAACTGTTGGCTGGTGCATGTTTCCTACCTGCTGTCGATAAGTGCCCAATGAACGGGAGGAGGACAGGCCTGCGGCACAGAACGAACCATCCTCCAGCAGTACAGCCGCCGTGCCAGGTAGACTGCGCACTTGCTGCCGCTGGCACAATTCGGCCCTCGCACACTGTGTCATCCCATATGGAGAAGGCTGATCTGCAGCCAGCAGCGCCCGAGGGTGACGAGGGTTCTCGCTTGTCCCTGCTCGATGTGCTGCCACAACCGCTCGTCTCCGCCATCTTTCTGGAGGCGCTTCATCTGCACCTGCACCAGGCGCCCAGTGCCGCGGATGCTCGAGAGGTGCTGCACCACCGGCGGCGGGACCCCAGGCGGTGAGCGGGGCACTTGACATGGCAAAATAAAACACCGATTATGCAGGCATGCACATCTGTTCAGATCACCTTTGCCCACTTTGTGGTATCCAGCCTGCTGTCTGCTGGACCTGCAGGGTGCTGCCGCTGGTGTCTAAAGCCTTCCAGGAAGCCGCCAACGAGGCGCATGGCCTGTGGGCCCGCGTCCAGCTCTCCATGCTGACCCTGATGGCCGGCCGCATGCCCTGCCTCGTGCGCTGGCTGGGCATGCATGCACCCGCCATCCGTGTGCTGGTGCTGTATGGCCGGCCGCTGCCCAGCGTGGAAGTGGCGCTGCGGGAGCATGTGGACCTCGTGGCGGCCGTGGTGCAGCAAATGACTGGCCTGCAGCAACTGGATTTGGCTCGCCCCCTTGGCGCCGCCGTGCTGGCTCGCCTGGAGCCCCGCCGCCTAGCCTGCCTGCGCTCAGTGGGCGTTGACCTGGCAGGCGGCGGCGGCAGCAGGGGCGGCGGCGCAGGCGGCGGGTACGCCGCTCGGCGCAAGCGCGCCAGCGAGGCGGGCGAGGTGGAGCGGGCAACGGCCAACCTGCTTGCACTGCCGGCGCTGTCTGAGCTGCTGGTGCAGTCTTGCCTCGAGGTGAAGCAGGGAGGCAGCTCCTGCGCCCTGCCATGGTTTCCAGGGACCTTGTGCTGCTTGCAGCGTGCCTTCGCCTTGCACTGGCTGCTGCCGTTGCCACCTCCACTGCCCACCCCACCGCTGCGCCTGCAGGCGCGGCTGCTGGTGCGCGACCCCGCGCTGCAGCCGCTGGAGCGCCTGCACTTTGCGGACGTGAGGGACGTGCCGCGCAGCGCCGTGCTGGCCCCGCTGGCCTGCCTGCACAGCCTGACCAGCCTGCGCTTCTCCCAGCGCGACGGCTTCCAGCTGCCCGGCCCGCTGACGGCGCTGAGCCGCCTGGCGCACCTGCACGCCGGGGTGCGCTACAGAGACGACCCGCTGCGGGTGGGGGCCGACCTCGGCTCGCTGCGCAGCCTGCGAGCGCTGTGGCTGCAGCACGCGGCGTTTGATGCGCCCTCTGTCCTGGCTGCGCTGCCTGAGCTGCGCACGCTGGCGCTGGTGGGGGCGGCCGAGGCCTACCCAGCCGTGTTGGCGGCCATGGCGGCCTCCACGCAGCTGCGGGCGCTGCACCTGGAGGCTCACGCCTGGGTGGTGGAGGAGGTGCCGACGGGCACTTGGCAGGCGCTGGCAGAGCTTGGGGCTGGCTGCCTGACACGCCTGGAGCTGCCTTACACTCGCCTGCGGGAGCTGCCGGGCGGCGCATACCTCGGCAGGCTGGAGGTGGGGTGTGGCCTCCTGCTCATGTTGTGTTTGCTTGACCCGTGCTGCCATACCGCACATGACCCAGGGGCGCTTGCTGCTGAGCCTTTATGTCAAGGGTGACCCGACTGCTTGCAGGTGCCAACCTCAGCCAAAACAGTCTGCCAGGCGTGCCGGCGGCGCTTCTGGCAGCCACCAGCCTGCAGTTCTTGAGTCTTGGCCAGCAAGAGAGCTCCCGCCCCGGAGACAGTGCGGCCGACCGAGCGGTGCTGCAAGGGCTTCCGCGCCTGCGGCTGCTGGTCACGAGCTCCGGGCATTACAGCGCGAGCCACCTCTCAGTCGGACTGCGCTCGCCAGCTGAGGCCGCCCACCTGGACCGCGTGAGGGCGGCGCTGCCAGCCGGCGTGCGCGTCACCAACGAGCAGGCAGAGCTGGAGCGGGGGGCAGGGCGGCTGCAGGCGCTGTTCGAGGTCAACTTGCGGCAAGGCAGGCTGTGAGTCTGTAAGGCTTTGGAACGCCATGACTGCTGCATCAGCAGTCATGAATGGAGGATGGCAGGGGGGAGGGAGAGTTGCGCCCGCCGCCGCCCGACGCCCGCCGCCGCCCGACGCCCGACGCCCCACCTGGCACTGCTGCTCCTGCCGCTGCTGCCAAAGCCCCAGGCCAGCGAACCAGCTAAGCTATATATATCATCGGCGAATGCCAGAACAAACGCTGGAGGCCTCCTCCCTGCTGCGGTTCTGGCTCAGCACGAGAGGATTAGGCCGATCTCCAACTTCTGCCTGCGCCCGCACCAGCGCCGGCACACTGTGTTTGCTCACTGGTGTCACCATGGCTGCCTGCCTCTCCTCCTTCGTCGGCACCCGCGTGGGCTTTGCCCAGCGCACCGCTCCCCGCAGCACCCGCAAGTCGGTGGCTGTGTCTGCGGCCGACCGCACTCTGTGGCTGCCGGGTGAGGAGGAAGGGGGTTGTGGCAGCCAAGAAGACGCGATTAGCTGCAGCTGGGGGAGGGGAGGCCTGGCAGCCAGCAGGCCCATCGAGCACCCTGGCAGCCCCCAGCACCCCATACTGCCCTCCAGCATGATCCCGTGTGGCCATCAGAGGGATCGGTTCGCAGCATCGCCGCCCCCAGCTGCGGAGCAGGGCGCAGCAGTCGCGCGCCGCCTTCGTGGCGGTGGCAGTGCAGGGCCACCCACACAAGCCCCACACTCTGCAGCCGCAGGGGCAATCGTTGACTGTCCTTTTGTGGTTTGCTGCCTGCCTGCAGGCATCGCTGCCCCCAAGCACCTGCCGGGCAACCTGGCCGGTGGTGAGTTGTGCTGCGGGCGCTGCCTTGGGCAGGGCAGCCGCAACCATCATGCACCGCGCGTGCCTATTTGTCACTGCCCATGCTCACCGCTTGATCCCTTCCTCCTTTGCAGACAATGGCTTCGGTGAGCGGCAGTGAAAGGGCAGCTGGGCGCAGCAAGGATTTGGCAGCTGGGGTGACAAGAGCGTGTGCGCAGACCGGCAGCCGAGCGCAGAAGCCCAGGCAGATTTGGCGCACCCAGCCTCCCATTAGCAGCAGCAGGCCGATGGATGCAGCCATCCTGCTTGCCTCGTTGTGAGCATGCCCGTGAGAAGTTGAGCCGCGCCTGCTTCTGCCGTTTTGCCCCTGCAGACCCCCTGGGCCTGGGTGTGGACTCGGACCGCCTGAAGGTGCGCCCGTGGCACCTGCCCTCGGTCCTGCCAGCAGCAGTGGAGCCGCGTGCGGTGGGGCCTGATGACGTTGCGAGCTGGCGGCGCCCCTCCCACCGAGCCGCGCGCTGCTGCCGCCCCCCCCCCCCCGCCCCGCCCGCCCGCAGTGGTACACCGAGGCGGAGAAGACCAACGGGCGGTGGGCCATGGCTGCCGTGGCCGGCATCCTGTTCACCGACGTGCTGGGCAAGCCCAAGTGGTTTGAGGCGGGGGCGCAGGAGTACTGGATGGACAACAACGCGCTGCTGGCCATTGAGTTCCTGGTGCTGGGCTTCCTGGAGCTCAAGCGCTTCCAGGGCTGGAAGGAGACCGGCACCTCGGGCTTCCTCAACGCCTTCCCCTTCGACCCCGCCGGTGAGTGTTTCCTGGCGAAAGGTGCTCTACAAACTCTTGTTTCTGTGGAGCGCACGCAGCGCCAGCCGGAGTTGTCTGGTGCTGCGGCGCCACGGGGCGGCACGCATGTCTGGAGGAGAGCGCCGTGGCAGATGCTCTCCTCCAGCAGGCGTCTCACCCGCTGCTCCCGCCCCTGCCTGCCCTGCGCGCGGCGCTGCAGGCATGAACTCCCCCTCCATGGCCACCAAGGAGGTGAAGAACGGCCGCCTCGCCATGGTCGCCTTCATCGGCTTCTGCGTGCAGGCAAGCGTCGCGTTGTCGCAGGGCGTCTGGTGGCGTGGCCAATAAAAACGCAGCCTGCATCAGCATTTTTCACCGTTCACTACTTTGGGGCCAGCAGCCATGTGCTGCTGCTGGCAGCATGCTTGCCGCGGCCCTGCCTGTGCCCTGCCCCCGGCCCACGCCTGCTGCTGACGACGCTGTGCACCCGCTCCGCTCTGTGCCCGCAGGCGCTTGTGACCCGCGAAGGCCCCGTTGAGGCCCTGCAGAGCCACCTGAGCAGCCCCTTTGAGAACAACTTCATCGGCTCCATCGCTGCGCTGCCGTCTGTGATCGGCAAGTGATGATGACGACAGGCTTGGTCGTTTTTGTGCCCCTCGGGGCGGCGCCCATTTAACTGAGAAGAGAAATTGTTCTACCACTGGGGTGTAACACTATCTGTAGCAATCGCGACAGGATAATGTGGAGAGCAGGGGAGAGACAGGGCGGTTGGATCCGGCTGGCGCCACGTGGCGGCAGGGGCCGGCCGCCTGGCAGGATGCCACCCCTTTGCCATTCTGGTCTCTTCCCCTCTGCCACGCTGCTCAATCAGTGGGGCACACTGAGATATCGGCCCCACGTAGTTGCCTCGGAAGCAAAACCGTGGGTGCTCTCCTATCTGAAGCAGTTGCTCTGAGAGCACTAGCTACTGCTCGCAAACCTAGCAGTGTGCACGTGCAACCTTGGACACCGACTGCGGGCACGATGCTGGCCAGCTGGCTAGGGGCTGCACAGCCTGCCAGGTTGCTGCTGTGCCCCCGAGGCCAGCCTGCCACTGCAGCTCGTCGCAGCAGCGCCCTGCACTTGGGCCCGGCTGGCGGCTTCCGGCGGCGCCGGGCAGGTGCGCCTGTGCCCACCCCTGCGCCAACCGCGATGCTGTCGCCAGTGCGAAGCTCTGATGTGGCTCGTATCGTGGTGGCTGGCCTGGGCAGCTACATCAGGCGCCACAAAGCGCAGCTCAGGTGCGCGTCAATCACAGATAGAGTGCACAATGAGCCGCCGGCCAGCCCTCCCCGCCCTAACAGGCGCCAGCTTGCCTCTCCCCACCCACTGTGCAGCTTGCTGGGTGCTGGGGTTGCCGCCGTGGTGGCGCTGCTGCCGCAGCCCAACTTCAGCACGGTCCAGGATGTGGCCAGCCAGGTGCATACTGTGCGTCTTCCCCCTCTGGCTAGGCATCGGTCCAGTCAGCAGGCGCTTTCACAGCCTGTCTCGCCCTGCTGTGCAGGTGGCGCAGCGCCCTGCAGACGTGGCTGTGGAGGCTTGGGCCGCCTGCCTGGTGGCCAGCAATGTGCTGTGCGTGGCGGCCTGCGCGGCGCTGTGCTTCACCACTGCCAGGTGCAGGTTCTCCCTCCCCGGGCTGCGGCAGCAGCTGCCCCCTGCACTGCAAAAGTGTACTGTGCCTGCTGCTGGGCTGACTTCCTGCAGACTACCCGGCGCTTTCTCCTCCTTCCCCGCCACGCAGGTACATAGACGTGCGGCGGGAGCACAGCGATGAGCTGGCAGGCCTGCTGTCCTCCCGCCAGGACACCCTGCACCGCTTCACCACAGACGTGCTGGACCGGCTGAGGGAGCAGGGTGTGGAGTATGAGATGGGCACAGGTGGGCAGGCGGGGCCGGGGGCAGCCGGGGGTGCGAGGAGATGCCTGCAATGGTGGCGAAAAAAGCTTGATGACGCAGCCCTTGCTTGCTCACCTGCTGCTGTCGCCTGCTGCTGCTCCAGTGGGCGCATTCAGGGCTTGGTACCTGGCGCAGCTGGCGGCCACTGACGCCATGCTGCGGCGGCTGCGGGCGGGAGGCGATGCCACCAGCGCCGCCGAGCAGCTGCAGGCAGTGATGGACAGGCTGGGGATGACGGCGGCGGATCTGGCGCGCTTGAGCAGCGGAGAGCTGGCCGCCGGGCACGGTGGGTGACAGGCAGCCAGCCAGGCAGCTGCTACTGGGATGCCTGGAGAGGTCTGGTGTAGTGAGCATGGGCTCTGACGTGTTTCTAACGTCTCCCGCCTGCAGACCGCAGGGGTGGCAGGGTGGCTAATGTGCTGGGCCCCACGCAGAGCATCAGGGTGCGGCGCATGTCTGGCAGTCGGTCCCGCAAGGAGCCCCTTCAAAAGGCACACTCTTGGCCACTCATGCTGTGCTGTGCTGCCCCTGCTTGCCTGCCAGTGCAAGCGCAGCACTGTGCCCTCTGCTCCCTCTGCTCCATCGCTTGGCATGCAACGGCCAGCCATATCCATATCCAGCTGGCTTACTGTGCTTGCTGGGCTGCTGGGCTGGGCCTCGCAGGAGCGGCACATGCTCGAGCGGCTGGTGCGCATGCGCACGCGGGAGGACCACCACCCCGCCTTCCAGGCCTACCTGCGAGAGATGGAGGCGCACCTGGAGCGATCCATGCAGGTGGGGCTGGCGCTCCAGCCTGCTGTGCCCGGCAGCAGCATCGCACGGGCGCAATGGCCCGCTGCTGCATCACTGCCCGGGAGCTCTGGTGCTGTGCTGCGACAAGGATGCAGGCACTGGGTGCGTTGGATGAAGCCGTGCAAGCTGCTTGCTCTGTGCAGGCGCCGGAGGCGGAGGCGGAGGCGCCCTCGCCGGCCGAGGCGGAGGCTGAGCGGGGCGTTGGCGAGCACGGCGCCGGCGGCAGCCCATGCAGCACAGACGACCCGCTTGCTGCCTTTGACGAAGGGGATTGCTCGCATTCTGCCGACAACCCGGAGCTGTCTGATGTGGAGCTTGCGGAGATTGACTGGGAGCTGAGCTTCGATGAGTGGGACGATGCCGGTGGCTCCGACAGCATCGACACCAGCACCGAGTGAATCGGACCCTCTGCCTGTTGACTGCCTTGCCCATACAGCGTACGCGCTGTCCCCCGTGAATGTTGCTTTCCCGATGCTTGCGCTGCCCCTTCCTGATGCTCCTCGCCGTGACAGATGTTTGTCACCACGAGGGCAGTTTCAAGCATTGTGATCCGTCTGCTTTCGTCGCTTCCTGTGCTGTTTGCAATGTGCCCTGTCGAATCATTACAAGCCTGCTGCTGCCGTCAATAAATGCACGCACGCGGCGGCTCGGCAGCGGCGCTCGTGCTAGGCGCCGCCATTGTGCTGCTGGTTGGCGTGCTGCCTGGCAAAGTAGGCCGGCGCCAGCTCGGGCAGCCAGCTGGGCTCCACCACCACTGCGTCCCGCGCGTACTGCCTGGTGGTGCGCACCAGCTCGTTGAACACGATGCACTCGGGCTTGGCGTTCTGGGCGCGCAGCACGGAGGAGGGGTGGATGGCCACCGCCTGCCCGCTGGCAATCACCTTGTAGCTCCCTGCGGCACGCGGCGGATGGGGCTGTCGGGGCGGCCTGGCAGCTTGGGGCTGTTGGCAGGGCGCACCGGCAGGGCATTGGATGGCAGCCTGGCGAGAAGGCGAGCAAGCAGCGCAGGGGGGGTGGGCGGGCACCCTCACCGTCCAGCTGCCGCCTGGCGGCATGCGGGAAGAGGCCCGCCACCAGGGCGCGCCGCAGCACCCGCGTGTCCTCGCCGCACGAAACCAGCGGGATGCCAAGCGCCTGCAGGTGCTCCTTGAGCTGCGCGGCAGCGAGAGGCGGGCACGATCAGGGCCGGCACGTTCTGCGTGTCGCTCCGACGGCCATCTCTGCGCCCATCTACCATCTGCCTCTCGGAGACGGCCTGCCAACACACCATTCCCTTGGAGCAGCGGGCCGCCTCAGCCGCTCCCCTGCTGCCGCCCAGCCCACCTGCGAGTGTATGTCCATCGCTTTGCGCATGGCCCGCGGGTTGACAAAGTGGGCGCGGCACCAGTGCGACCGCTCGTGCCCCTTCCTGCTCACGTCGCTGTACGCCCGGAACACGGCCAGCAGGGTGAGGTGGTCGCCCTCGCGGCACCGGAACTGCTGATGCGCCTCCACCGCCTCCTCCCTCTTGCCCCTGCACGACGCGCACGGCCACAGCCAGCCGGTCAGAGGCATGCCACGGACTAGAAAAGGGGGCAGCTGTCGCTGCAACTGCAGCCCAGCCAGCCGCTCCTGGTCCACCGCCAGACAGCCAGCGAGGCGTCGCACACATACCTCACAACGCCACCACCGTCCCCTCCCATCCCGCACGCCGCCCCGCCCCTCTGCCTCCACCCAAGGGCCCCGCACACGGCCGGGGTTGAGGCCCCCCACCCGCCCCCCACCTGGGCAGGTGGAAGACGACGTCTGTGGACACCATGGCCACCACGGCCACCGCCTCCACGCTGCACCCCATCTCCCCGCTGGCCAGCAGCACCTTGCCGTACATGGGCTCCACCGGCAGCCGCGCCAGCTGGGCGCCTGCAGGGAAAGAAAGAAAGCAGGAAAGGAAGAAAGAAAGGGAGGGATGGACGGTCGGCGGACGGATGCCTACAGTGCAGCAGCGCGCGGCGGCCATTGGCCACGCGGAGCAGCGAGACGCCGCAGTGGCGCCCACGGCGCAGCGGCAGCCCCAGCGGCGGCCTCTGGGGCGGTGCACACCCACGGGCTGCGTGAGGTCCCCCCGCGCGTCCAGCGCCCCCAGCGCCAGCAGCAGCTCCAGCGAGCGCAGCAGGGCGGCGCGGGGTGGCGGGTCCATGAAGTCAAAGCCCACCACGTCGGCCACGCCCAGCGCCTTGAGCTGCAGGGGGCAGGCAGGGGCAGGCAGGTGTGGCTGTGGTGCGCGGCGGTCTGGCGGGGCCAAGGCGGCAGAAGCAGCAGCGGACAAGGCACGGAGATGGAGTGGTCGTGGGCAGCGGGATGACCAGGTGTTGAGCAATGGGGGGCGGAAGCAGGGCCAGCCGGCACCCCTTGCCTGCAGCACCACGGACGCCAGGTTGGTGCGCTGGATCTCGGGCAGCGTGGTGGGGGGCAGCTGCTGGAAGGAGGCCTCGGTGTAGAGGCGGAAGGCCTTGCCGGGGGCCTCCCGGCCCGCGCGCCCGCTGCGCTGCCGCGCCTGCGCCTGCGACACAGGGGTCACCTGCGCGGCGAGCAGGCAGGCCGGACGGGGTGTTGGCGGCGGATGCATGCAGGGGTTGACAGCGCAGAGGCGGCGCCGGCCAAGAAGCCCTCCAGGCACCTACACCCCACCCCACCCCACCCCATGACACGCGCCCGCCCGCCCCTCACCTGCAGGCAGTCTGCTCCCAGGCGCGGGCTGTAGCTGCGCGACTTGACAAAGCCGGTGTCGATGACGTAGCGCACGCCTGAGATGGTGATGGAGGTCTCGGCGATGTTGGTGGACAGGATGACCTGACGAGGGTGGGCAGGGGGTGGGCAGGGAGGGGCAGGCACAAGGGGGGCAAGGGAGGCAGGGCAAAGGTGGGGGAGAGAGGGTGGGAGGGGGGCTCGAGGCACGGAGGCAGGGGACAGAAAGCAGCAGGCTCAGAAAGCAAGCAGCAGGCCCTCACCAGCGGCAGGCAGGGGAAGGCAGCAGCACAAGCGGCGGCGGCGCAGCTTTGCGCATGTGCGGGCCAAGGCCACCGCGCCCCCACCTTGCGCGTGTTGGGCGGCGCAGGCTGGAACACCCTCAGCTGCGCCTCCGGCGGCAGCGCCGCATACATGGGCAGCACCGCCAGCTGCGGGCGGTCGGGGTCGGGCGGCAGCGCCGCCGCCGCCTCGCTGATCAGCCGCTCGCACGACTCGATCTCGTCCTGGCCCGTCAGGAACACCAGGATGTCGCCGGGGCCCTCCTCGCAGTGCACCTGCGGCCGGTGCATGTGTGGGTGTGGGTGGGAGGGGGAGCAGGTAAGTGTGTGCAAGCGCTGGCGCAAGCTGGGTGCGTGCGTGCGAGGCGAGCGGCCAGGGAGGGTCCCACAGGCAGAGAGGACGCGGCAGGTGCGCAGCCTGCTGCATCCCAGCCCGCCGCCACACCTGCAGCGCCGCCGTGATGGCGGCATCCTGGTAGCTGTCCTCCGATACCGCCGTGTACATCACCTGCACAGGGAACTGGCGGCCCTGCAGGTGCAGGGGCGCCGCCAGGTCCGGGAAACAACACGCATGGGCAGGTCAGTCGGAGAGCATGCAGGCAGACACCGGCAGCAGGCGCGGACATGCCGCATGCAATGCATCGGCGTGTAGGGCGGGCGGCGCACACACACACACACACACACACACACACACAGAGGCAACCCTCATGAACACGCACATTCACATCGCAACCTCCCGCCCACCCACCCACCCACCCACCTCCACGTAGGCGGCCTGCGCGCCCTCAAAGTAGCGCGTGAAGGCGGCGGCGTCCAGCGTGGCGCTCATGACCACAAGGCGGAAGTCGGCCGGGCGCTGCCGGCACACCGCCTTGAGCAGCCCAAACAGCACGTCGGTGGCCACCGTGCGCTCGTGCGCCTCGTCCAGCACCACCACCTGTGGCGGGGAGGCAGGGGAGGCGCACCCCGACTGAGCAGGTGTGAGGGGCCGGCGGGCGGGGCGTGGCCGCGTCGCCGTACCAGACAGGACCGCAGCGCCGGGGAGCCGGCTCTGCCACGCCGACACACCTTGTAGCGCTGCAGCAGCGGGTCCACCAGCGCCTCCCGCAGCAGCATGCCGTCTGTGAGGTACTTGATGCGCGTGGCGCCGCTGGTGCGGTCGTCAAAGCGGATGGAGTAGCCGACCTGCGGCGCATCGGGGTGGGTGGCAGCAGCACATCCAGACGGTATGTTATATGTTACAGCCAGCGAATTGACGTGTGGTGTAAGGTGATGGCGGGCCCTATGCTGGGCATCTGGGGAATGAGCCGCGCATCCGCCCCGGCCCTGCCCTCAGCACTGCACCCTCGTTGCCCACCCACACCTTGGCCCCCAGGTCAGTGCCCATCTCATCGGCCACCCGCTGCGCCACTGTCACCGCCGCCACGCGGCGCGGCTGGGTGCAGGCGACTGCTCCGCCCTTGGCGAGGCCGGCATCGTACAGGAAGCGAGGGATCTGCGGGCGGCGAGGCAGGCGGCGGAGAGACAGAGATGCAGGCGTGGTGGAGCGTTGGGGTGCGGTGAGCGCGCCTCTGGCAGCGGCCCATGGCAGGCAAGCACAAGAGCATGCAGGCATTGACACGTGCACCCACCTGGGTGGTCTTGCCGGACCCTGTCTCTCCAATCACGACCAGCACCTGGTTGTCGCGGACCAGCTCCACCAGCCGCTCCCGAGCCGACCAAACCGGCAGCTGCTGCCGCTCCTTGTCCAGGCGCTGGCTGCACAGCAGCAGCAGGCGGCGCGGTCCGCCAACTTTCAGATCGGCCCATGGGGCTGGTTTGAGAGGGTGCAGAGCCTGCTGGCCACTCCCTGAGGGCAGGAACATGCGGCGACGGCAGAACTGCAGCAGCTGTGCTCGCTGCCACACTGCATGCAACCAGCTGCATGCGTAGAACTCACCGCTTTGCTGCCCGCCCCTCCGGCCCCTCCGCGGCAGTGGGCACCGGCTTGCTGGCCCCCATGCCTGCGCCCCGCCGATATGCTGGCTCAGGAATGCAACTGCAAGTGCTCACAATGCGGCTAACATTGCTAAATGCAGATAGGCTGGCAAGCGGGATGTACAGGTGGCGCCGCCGTTTGACCGGCGATCTCACGGGAGGCCGTGAGACAGGTGAATGGAAGACTACTGCTCCTGCATATGGCAGCACTCCCGCCAAATGGTGGGCATTGATTGACAGTCTTGCGAATGGCACCTCCATGGGAGCGGCGGTTTTGGCGGGTGGTGCAGCTGTGTGTCGTGCGTGCCGTGCAGCGAGGCACGATGTAGCCCATCTTACTGAACAAAGTTCTGGTGCCGCCACTCAAGCCAGTTGGACTTGCTTGAATTTCTTGTGTTCACAACATGGCCACTTTTTTGGATGTGACTGACTGCATGGGTGGGAAGGAGGTCAGCTGCAGACAGGTGGGCAGGCTGCTTTGGGCCCTCGAGAGGATCGGGAGGGGAAAGGGCACCATGCCTTGCGTGCCCTCCTGCCTGCTTGCTTCTGCACCTGCAGATGGATATGATGATGGGGCAGCACGGCTGGCGGTCCGCCGGAGGGAGATAAACGTCGCACCATTCTCAGGAGCTGCGCTCGCGGACAGCATGCTTTGCCCGTTAACTGCGTCCACCCTCTTGGAGCCTGGACTAATCCCCCCCGGCACCACTGCCGGTTCCCAGCGCCAGATCAGACCAGCCATTCGGCAGTTCCACTCCAGATATTGTTACAGTAGAGGATGGTGAAAAAAGCGCAGAGCGGGCCATGCAGGCGGTCTGAGCTGGCGCCTGAGTTGTCATCGCCCTGGTCCCCAGAGTTCTTGCAACATTGCATTCACAGCATCAGCTCAATCTTGCAGCCTGCAGCAGAGGTGAGACAGCGGAGTTCGGCGGCGATGGGCCGGTTTCTGCCTCCTGCAGCCCTCCAGGCCGAGCTTGCACGTGCTTCCAAGCACCTGGATACTGCCACAGCGGAGCACGAGGTGCGGATTGTTGGGCGATCACCACTCGGGAAGTCGTTCTGAGGTTCAGCCGCACTGCTTCATACACGCATGCATCTTGCCTCAAGCACCGCTGCCAATTCCTTGCCCCACCGGTGCAATGCTTTGCCGCCGCCGTCACCGCCGCCGCTGCCTTTGGTGCACCCAGCAGAAAGCGGTGGTGGCGCTTGTGAGAGCTCAGGCTCTCGTGGACCACAGCCGGAATGGCGCTGCTGCCAAGCAGGCGGCGCGTGATGCGGCAAGTGGCCACAAGGCGGATGTGGAGTTGGAGATGCAGGTGCGCAGCACACCGCTCACGCGGAGCAGCACGGCAGCCGTGCCGCCATGAAGGCATTCCCACCACCTGGCTTCACACGCCCTGTTGCCGAGGGCGTGCATGTGTGCAGGCTGCCAAGTACTTTGCCGAATACTTTGCCAGCGCCTGGGAGCGCAAGGAGGCGGAGGTGGCGGCAGCCGCGGCGGCGCTGCACCGCTCCGAGGTATGGGCGCGTGCCAGGCACATGCAGGTCGGCCTTGCGCTATGCTGATGCACACCTTGATGGCTTCCCGTGCCCCTGCTCCGCCCGGCGTTTGGCTGCAGGTGGAGCTGAAGCAGGCCAACTCGGCGGCGGAGGCTGTGCGCAAGCAGACGGCGGGGGTGGTTGAGGCCAAGGAGGATGCCGACTCCCTGCTGGCCGCTGCCTCCACCACCTATGAGCGGATAAAGCGCAAGGTGGATGAGGCAGAGGCAAAGGCGCGGGAGGCGGCGGAGCGGCAGGAGCGCGAGGAAACAGAGCGGCGGGAGGCAGAGGCTAGAGCGTTGCAGGCGGCGGCCGCGGCGGCGGCAGCCAAGGCGGCGGCAGCCTCTGGGGGCGGGGCGATCGAGGCAGCGGCGGTGCTGGTGGCTGGGCTCATGGCACCCGTGGGCCAGTCGTTTCCTGAGGTGCCCACAGCGCCAGCACTGGTGCCAGCACCAGCACTAGCAGCAGCAGATGGCGGTGCAGCGCCGGCAGCACCAGCACCTGCCGACAGCGACCAGGATGGCAGCAAGCGCAGCAGGAGCAGGAGCCGCAGCAGGAGCCGGGACAGGCGCAAGCAGCGGCGGCGCAGCAGGAGCAAGAGCCGCAGCAGGAGCAGGGACCGGGAGAGGCGGCGCAGCGGCAAGGCAAGGAGCAAATCGCGCAGCAGGAGCAGGGACCGGGAGAGGCGGCGCAGCGGCAAGGACAGGAGCCGCAGCAGGAGCAGGGACAGGCGGCGCAGCGGAGGCAGCAAGCGCAGCGAGCGCCGGGACAGCTCGCCGGTAGGGCGCAGCAGCCGGGGCGCACGCGGCCGCAGCCGCAGCCCGACGCAGCAGAATGGCAAGGAGCAGCAGAAGCAGGAGCCGCCGAGGCGGCGCAGCAGCAGGAGCCCTGGCGGGCAGAAGAGCCCACGCCTAGCGAACATCCGTGTTCCACGCGGGTGAGGGGCAGCTGGAGGGCTGGGAAGTATGCAAGCATGCACCTGCTGCTTTGCTCCTACGACCACCAGCATATCGTGGAGCTGCCTGCTGGTCCCGCCCCTCCGCCTGCAGGCTCCAGCGGCAGTTTGAGGATGCGCTGCGCAGCTGCCTGGAGTCCAAGCCCCTGCCCTTCAATGTGTCCTTCATCAATGACAGGCAGGCAGGGGAGGTCAGGGCTCCACACATCACAACTGTGCAGTGCAATGGTCTGCTGCATGCGTAGAGCACGTCCGGGCAGCACTGCTGTGTGAAAGCGGCTTGCTTCCGCATGGTACAGCTGGCTGACTTCGTCTCATTGCTGTGTGCTGCAGGATGAAGCGGCAGGAGCCCCGCTGGAACGCACAGTCAGAGCTGGGTGAGTGCAGCTGGCAGCGCATCGGCCAGCAGCTGAATCGCCATACGGCACCCGTGAACCGTCAGTGCCAGCCTAGCTGGCCTGGCCGGCCGCCGATTCCTCTCGATCTCCTTGCACTGCTTGCTTGCAGGCTGCTCCTTCTCCCAGATGTGCCAGGTCATGCAGCGCGATGGCCTTCTGCAACTGAAGCGGCAGGGCGACACATGGGAGGTGGCGAGCAGCAAGCTGGAGCAGCAAGTGCGCCCCCGGCGGTCGCCGCCAGACGCAGCGGAGCGAGCGGGCACTGCCGGCGAGCGATGGATCATGGGCTGAACCCAGCTAGTACAACCATTGTGCCCCAAAAGCTGTAGCCCCGAATGTGTAAAAGCTCTGTCTCTGGGGGAGCAGGTGGTTGACAGAGGGTGCCAATGGGTCTGGGCCAGCTTGTGGGAGCTTGCTGGGGAGGAGAGTGTGAGGCCCTGCTAGAGGATCACTGGACAATAGCTGGACAATAGCTGTGCATCAGGCTTGTTGCCATGGTGCATGCCTTCAGCTCTGCTCATGTACGGTGGCGGGGTCTGGCGGCGACGGCTGCTCGGTGGCGTGACGTGGCCGCAGCGCAGCATGAAGACCGATCATCCGTGTACCTTCTCGTGCTGCTTCATGCTTCTCCATCCACTCGCCAGCAATAGCTGCAAGCTTCAAGACTTACTCTAGCAGCAGCCCACACTTGTGATCGAGCCTTGCCAGGGCGCCGCAGCTCATCATGGCGCGGCGATATGATAGCGTGAGCACGATACGGGACACCAGGAGGCTGGGCGGGCGGGGCGGGGGGTACACACGCCTGTGACACTGATCGGCGGCACAGACAGTCACCGTGGGACCCCTGTGGTCTGGACGAATGTCTATTTTGCTGCTGCGCTGTGCCACCTCGCCGATGGCCTCTTGCCACTGCCCACCCCCCCGCTGCCGCAGAGGACGACAATATTCAGCCCAGAGGGCCGGCTATACCAAGTAGAGTGAGCGACACAGCCGGGCGATGATGCGGGGGCTGTGGGCTGCGCGAGGGGGGGCGGTGGCGGAGCCCGCTCGCGTCACACACTTGCTTGCCCGCTCCCGCATCCTGGTTGCAGGTATGCCATGGAGGCCATCTCCAATGCCGGCTCCTGCGTGGGCATCCTAGCAAAGGACGGCGTGGTGCTGGCGGCAGAGAAGCGCATCACCAGCAAGGTAGCCGCGCTGGCAAGCCGCGCCGCCTGGCAGCACATGGCTCACGCCAGGGAGACAAGACCATGGATTCGATTGTGCTGGTGCTCAGGCAGGGAGCTCGCAGCACACCATCCCGCTCCCGCCCAGCCGCCTGCCTTCACGTCACCCGCCGCATCCCGCCCCTGTGCCCTGCCCCCTGCCGCAGCTGCTGGACACGCAGGCTGTGGGGGTGCGGCGGGAGAAGATGTATCGGCTGGACGATCACATCGCGTGCGCGGTGGCGGGCATCACCGCCGACGCAAACATCCTGGTCAACACGTGCCGCCTGCAGGCTCAGCGACACCTCTTCACCTACCAGGTGTGCACGCGCACAGGGTGTGCGCACCCCTGCGGGTGGCTGGGGAGCCGCATTGAGCGCATCGAACAGCTCACCTGCCCTGCCCACCCGCCCTCGTGTGTGCGCCCCCTGCGTGTGCACCGCAGGAGCCCATGCCCGTGGACCAGCTGGTGCGGGGGCTGTGCGACACCAAGCAGGGCTACACGCAGTACGGCGGCCTGCGCCCCTTTGGTGTCTCCCTGCTCTACGCGGGCTGGTGAGCCTGGCGGGCCCGTGGCCCGCCGGCCGGCTGCTGCTGCGTGAACCGCTCTGGTCTGGATGCAAGCTGGCAGGCCTGCCTAGCCTCTGGCCGTCCCCCCGCCAAAATCTTCTCCCATTTGTTTGCCCACCGCAGGGACAAGCAGCGCGGCTTCCAGCTGTACCAGAGCGACCCCAGCGGCAACTACGGCGGCTGGAAGGCGACCGCCATTGGCGCCAACCACCAGGCCGCCACCAATGTGCTGCAGGGAGACTACAAGGACGAGCTGAGCCTGGAGGAGGTGCGGGGCGGGGTGGCGTATGTGTGGCGTGTGGTGGTTGTGATGGGCCCGCCCCTTCGACGCTGCACTAGCTGGATGTTTGTTGCCACATGCAATCCACGCAATCAATAGCGATGTTTGTGCATCTGGTACCGCTTCGAAAACGGCTTGCCATAACACTGCCTGCCTGTTTGCCCCCCACCCTCCCCACCAGGCCACCAAGCTGGTGATCAAGGTGCTGAGCAAGACGATGGACAGCACAACGCTGAGCCCAGACAAGGTGGAGCTCATCACGTTGTCACGGGACGACGAGGCGGGCAAGGTGTGCGCATGCATGGCTGGGGCGGGTCGTGGGGCCGCCTCGCCATGCGTCTGCATCTGTGGCTGATCCTCAGAATGCGTGCGTCAGGTCCGGCGGCGGAAGGTCTGCCTCTGTGGAGACTTGCTCGGTTCCACAGGCTGCTTCTGTGCTGTTTTCCCCACGGCTTGTTCTCACCCTGTCTGTTCCCCTGCTGCCTCTGCCCACAGATCATCTACAAGGTGTATGAGCCGTCTGACCTGAAGCCGGTGCTCGATGCGGTGAATGCGGAGCAGACAGAGGAGAAGAAGAAGGAGCAGGGCAAGTGAAGATGCTCAGCACCGGCTGGGCCCGCCCTCAACAGTGCACTCCAATTAACGCTGCTCCGGCTCGTTGGTTACACGTTGGGGGCTTGTACAGTAAAAAGGAATGCAGGCAGGCTCAGAGCAACCAGCAGGGATCCAGGCAGGAGCTGATAAGAGGCCTTCCCCATCTATGCCACCCGATGCTGCTCCCCGGTCAGCCGGTTGTGGTGACCTGCAAGCAACAGCATGGAGTCAGCAGCAGCCAGAGCGCCTGGCCTGGCCCCCGAATCCACAGCCACGGGCCAGGCGCACGGCTGCCATGCCCTTCCTCCCTGCACCGCTATGCCGCGAAGCGGGCTTGTGCAGGCAGAGCAGAAACCGAGTCTCAGCTGCAACAGATACCATACCTGTGCGCCTCCCCTCAGTCTATCTGACCTGTCGCGCTTAGACCTACCACCTCCACGGCTCCGGCTGCGCGACTTGTGCCGCCGCCGCTGAGGGCTCCTGCTCCGCTCGCGCCTGCAGCATGCGGCTGGAAATGTCGGTCTGTGGGGACGCACGCGCAAGCATGCCAACAAAGATGTCCCTAAACCAACCTGTCACGATCTCTGCTCTTGCTGCGGCTGCGCCGGCGGCGATCCCGGCTGCGGCTTCTGCTGCTGCGCCGCAGATGCTCTCGGCTGCGGCTGCGGCTGCGCCGATCTCGCTTCCTGCTGCGGCTCCTGCTGCGCCGCTGCCGGCTGCTTTTGTGCTCGTTGCTGCTCCGCCGCTCATCGCGCTGGCTGCTGCGCTTTGAGTCGCGGCGCTCCAGCTGCGGCTCCTCGCCGTCCGCTGCTGCCGCCTCGCCCCCAAGCGCTTGCGATGGCCGCGGTGGTGGAGCCACAGCATCTGGTTGCGGCTGTGCAGGCTGTGGAGGGATTGCGGGCTCGACACCATTCTCCACGTCAGCCTGCAGGCCGAGAAGGCCATTGAAGCGACAGCAAGGTTGCACACGTTTCAGCAGCACGGCCAGCAGGCAGCAGCTGAGGGATGGCAGCACAGCAACCGAGCTCGCAAAAAGGGCAGCCGCCTCCATTTCCCTCCAAACGAGCACGGATCAACGCACACTCGGCCCAGACCACCCATCACCCACACACCTGTGCTGTGGCTGCATCAGGCATGGGAATGGCCTCCAGGCGGTGCCCCTCCGTCTCCCGCACCGTGGACAGCGCGTGGATGCGGACGGCATAGGAGGGAGGCTGGATGGAGACATCTGTTGACACCACCGTCGCTCTGCTGCGCCGCCCATCCCGTTCAACGTAGTGCACCTCCTCCCCCTTGCCAAACAAGGGCTGCGGGGCGGCCGCGGCGGCGGCAGGGGCAGGGGCGGGGGCGGCAGGGGGCGGGCGGGGCCCCGGAGGCGGCGCCGCCGGCGCCGCCGCCGCCGCTAGCCGCCTCGTCGCCGCTGTCCTCATCCATCGCCTCCCCGCTGTCGCTGCCCTGCTGCTGCTGCTGCTGCCCCTCTTGCTGCTGCTGCTGTGGCGCCACTGCCGGCCCCTGCCGCTGCTGCTGCTCCTCTTCCTCCTCCCCATCGTCGTCTGAGCCATATGCCAGCCCCAGCAGCGCGCCGCCGCCGCCGCCCGCGCCTTCGCTGCCCTCGCTGCTGGATCCTTGCTCTGCCACCAGCCCACCAGGAGCCAGGACCTCCACCGCCCCCGCCTTGGGCGCCTTTTGGGTGCCGCCTTGCACCACCTGCCTGGCAATGTCCTCTGCAGGCGCAGCACGGTGAGCGAGCGCAGCAGGGTGCATCGGCAGTGCCTGGGCAGGGGTATAAGGGCCGCGTGCAAAAGATCCGCCGAACCCTTAGTCAAGCGTGCCTGGCTGGGTACACAGCATGCGTGCCCGCGGGAGAGGGAGCAGCGGGCGGGGCGCACCTATGAGCACATCTGTGACCTCCACCAGCACCCCGCCCAGGTGCCGCTTCACCTCTGTGTTCAGCTTGGCGCGCCGGGTGGCCTCATCCTCCTGCAGACGGATCGGAGAAAGGGTGTGATGGGGTGTAGTGGGAAGCAGTGGGAAGTGAAGTTTGCTGCTGCGCTGTTCCCCTGCAGCACGCACGCAGCAAGCCGCAGCGCTGTGGCAGCCAGCAGAGCGGAATGCGCTTGCCTCGGGCTCCGCCTCCTCCTCCTCCTCCTCCCCAGATGAGCGGCCGCCGCCCTGCTTCGCCGCGGAGGCGGGGCCGCTGTCCTGCTCGCCGCCGCCCCAGCGCGAGCCCCCGCCGCTGGCCCTCCTCTGCGCCGCGCCACGCCCGCCGCCCTCTGCCTCCGACCCGCTCGACTCGTCGCTGTCGCTGCCTCGCAGGCGGCGCGCCTTGCGGGCCGCCTCGCGCGCCGCCTCCCGATCCGACTCCGCCTTGCGCTTCAGGATCTCCTGCTGCAGCCAGTCGGGGATGGCCTTCTTGGGCTGCTGCAGCGGCATGCCGCCTGGGCCCATCGCCATACCGCCGCCCATCATCATCATCATGCCCCCGCCGCCAGGCGGCACCATGTGGTGGTGCGGCGCAAACCCGCCAGCGCTGGCAGGCCCCGGCGGCGCCAGCGTGGCAGGCATCGCCGCCACCGGCGCCGCCTGGTACATGGCGGCGCCTGGCATCGCCGCGGATGCCGGCGCCGAATAGCCGGATGCTGGCGCGCCATAGGCGTCGTATCCAGCAACCGGCTGCGCTGCATAGGCCTGGCTGTAGGCCGCCGGCACGGTGGCGGGCAGGGTGGGCGCCTGCTGGGGAGCGGGCTGCTGCTGCTGGTAGTAGCCGTACTGAGCGGCCTGAGCTGCCTCCCAGTGCTGCCACATCGCCGCCTGCTGGTCGGGCGGCATCGCCGCATACTGCTCGGCGCTCATCTGGTCCAGCCCGCTGCCAGCGCCAGCCCAGCCTGCAGCCGCCGGGTCTGCTGGGTAGGCGGCGCCGCCATAGCCCGCCTGCTGCTGCGGCGCCGAGTTTGGCGGCGGCGGCGGCGGCGGTGCTGCCGCCACGCCATAGGTGCCCGGTGGAGGTGGCGGGGGCTCGCTAGGCAGCGGGGGTGCGCCTGGATGAGGCGGGGGAGGGGGCTGGGGCGGAGGCGGGGGCACGTCCATCGCCGCTGATGGGCCCTGATGCCCTGCCAGGGTAGCGCTGCGTGCTTTGATGCTGGTGCTACTGCTCCTGGCCGTCAAGGAGGCATGGTTCAAGATGGAACCCTTTTTGCAGGCCAACGTGGCATCTTTGCGCTTGCAGTCCAAGCAGAACGTCATGCTAACAAATACACACAGAGGGCGATGCGCCGATGATCAGAATTGTCGCCGACTTGGGTTGCCCCCCCCTGGCCCGCGCTTCCGCCCTCTCCGCTCTGCCGCCCGCACGGGCGCCCGTTGCTGTGCTGCTCTGCCATGAGCCAGCCAATGGCAGGCAGACCCAGCTTCATCTGTTGCAACAAGCCAGGCAGTCCAGAAGCCGGGCTGCTGCTCTCTTGTTCAGACGGCGCGTACAGGGCGGCACGTGCGGCGCCCAGCTCGCTGCCTCGTCTACCCAACACCAGCCTGCCTCCCACGTTCACCACAATCGAATCCTCGGCATTACCGCAGTCCAATCAATGAGGGCTGCCGCAAGTTGCATGCTGGGACGGAGCCAGCGGCGGCGGCATGCTTAGCCCGCTGGCGGCCCCTGACATTGATGCCGGCAATGCCCGCGCAGCTGTCACAATCGTATGCGGCAGAATGGGCAGTGAGCTTGTGGACGACGCAGCGGCGGCCGAGGAGGAGCAGGAGCCTCAGCAGGGCGGCCAAGCCCCTGCCGAGGAGGTGGAGGGCGATGGGCTGCCGGCGGACGAGGAGGAGGCGTCAGAGGGCAGCGATGACGAGGGCGGGAGCGATAGTGAGGGCTCCAGCGACGATTCCAGCGATGAAGGGGGCGAGGATGAGGTGCGCTGGGCTACTCCAGGGTTCCTGCACACCGCCAGCAGAGCGGGGGTGAGGTGGCCGTGCTGCTGCGGCCCCCCGCAAGCCCCACGCATCGTCTTGCTGCCATCAATGCCGGGCGGCGGCGGCGCCGGGCAGGCACCAGGAGCAGGCGCAGCAGCTGGAGGACACCACTGCCCTGTGACACTGCCTGCCCTGCGCAGAATGAATTTGAGAACGATGGCTTCATAGTGGACGAGGCCGAGGACGAAGGTGAGGGTGCAGCTCCCGCAACCAACCCTCGCCCCAACCTACACAAACCGCAGCCATGCCACCAGCTTACACTGTCGGGAAAGCTGCCCCCTGCCTCTGTACACAGGCGGGGAGGAGAAGGGGGCGGGCGGCAGCGACGTGGAAGGTGCCGCCGAGGCCAAGAAGCGGCGCAAGAAGAAGCGGCGGCGGGAGCTGGTGCTGGACGAGGAGGTGGGTGCTGGCGCCGCCGGCTCCTGGCTGCTGCTCGTCCGCCTGTGCTGGGCCACGGCCTGGCGCTGCCGCTGCCGTTCGATGGCATCCGCGCACCTGCCACCTCCACCTGTGGCAGGCTGTGCCTCGCACAGCCCATTTTGCCTCCCTTTGAAGTCGGGCCGCCGCCCTGCCCACCACTTGCCTGCCCACCTGCCTGCCTGCACGCACGCACTCCTGCCCGCCTGCCCACAGGACTATGAGCTGCTTGAGGACAACACCGGCATCCGGCGCCAGCGCCCGCAGCTGCAGCACCGGCGCATCAAAAAGGCACGAGACACCGACGCCGGTGCCGCCAACCAGCACGACGCGGCGCGGGCGCTGCAGGTGCGGGGCTGGGCTGGGCGGTGCTGGGCGGGGCTGCTGGGGCGCTGTGTTGTGGGGCCTTCGTTGTCGCGGCAGCTGGCACTCATACGCAGGCCCTGAGGGTGCTGGACACGGGAAGTTGCCCAGGCTCTGGCTGCTGACCTGCCTCCCGCCCTGCCTGCCCACCTCGCTGCTGCAGGAGGAGCTGTTTGGCCTGGAGGATGAGGGGGGTGGCCTGGAGGACGACGACGACGACTTTGGGCGGCCCGCGGCGGCGGCGGCGGCGGGGCGCCCGCCCGGCGACGCCCGCGGCGGCCGGCGGGACGAGGAGATGCTGCCAGAGGCTGACGACCAGGTGTGTGTGTGTGTGTGTGTGTGTGTGTGTGTGTGTGCGCGGCAGAGCCGGGTGCTGAGGTGAGGCTCCCCCTCCAGGACCTGCATCTCCTTCGCCGCTGTCGCTGTACCGCTGCCGCTGTCGCTGTACCGCACCCGTCCCTGCCGCCAACAATGCCCGCGGCCCTGCCTTGCCGTGCCCTCCCCCCCTCCCTCCCTGGCAGTTTGACGACGAGGACGACTGGCTGGTGCACGAGGACGAGGAGGAGGGTGGGCCCGGGGCGGGGCAGCGGCGGCGCCGCCGCCGCACCGCAGTGGAGGGCCTGCCGGATGTGGACCCCGATGCGCTGGCGGTGCGTGGCGGGCGGGCGGGCATGGGGCCGGGACCGGGCCGGCACGCTGCACTGCCCTGCTCCTGGGCTGCACCTTGGGCCTGGGGCTGAGCCTGCCCAGCCTTCAGCGCTCTGCACGCGCTGCCTGCGCTCGCTGGCGCGCTGGCCCTCCTCCCCTGCTCCCCACCTCCCCCTGACGGCGCCTCCTCCCGAGCGCGTGCCTGCCTGCGCGGCCTTCCCGCGTGGCGTCCGTGTGCAGGAGGCGGACGAGATTTTTGGCAACGTGGACGACCTGCTGGGCATGTATGCGGAGCGGCGGCAGCAGCGGCGGGGCAAGGCAGACGCGATGGAGGAGGAGGAGGGGGAGGAGGAGGTGGAGGAGGAGGAGGCGGAGGCGCGGCGCCTGGCGCGGGTGAGGCCCAGGGCTGGCGGCTGGGGGCGCTGTGGTCGAGGTCGAGCGGCGGCAGCAGTGCTTGCAGGGTTGCGCAGGCCGGGGCGCGGTCGGGTGGGGCTGGACCCTGCGGTGTGTCCCCGCACGCCCGGGGCTTGCCCTGAGGGCAGCCGTGCGGGCATGCGCGTGGCCCACCTGCTGTCGCCGCGCCGCCCGCCTGCAGGAGGAGCGGCAGCGCGCCGCGGTGGCGCGGCGGGTGCAGGAGCAGCTGGACCCCGAGGCCGTGGCGCGACACTTCCTGCTGCCCCGCGACGAGCAGATCAGGTGGGTGGGTTGGCGCTTGTGTGTGAAGGCAGAGGCAGGGGTGGCGCAGCGTGTGGGTGCCAGGCGCTTCGGGCCCGACCCTGCATCCTGCTGCGCTGCCTGCCCTGGTGGCTTGCCCAGCGCCGCCGTGCACCAGGCGTGCGGCACCGCCACGCTCTCACCCTCGCCCACCCACCACCCGCCCCCGCCCTGCCCTGCCCTTCCTTGCTTTCTTCCCTGCAGGGAGGCCGACTACCCTGAGCGCGAGCAGCTGCACCGCGGCCCCGAGCCGGAGGCCTTTGACCTGGGCGCCTGCGCGGCCTGGGTGTGGGACAACCTGGTGGGGGAGCAGCGGCGGGAGGGGCGGGTGCTGGACCTGCTGGAGGATGGGGTGCAGGAGGTGGGCGGGGGTGGGCTGGGCCGTGGGTGTGCCTGCCTTGTGATCTGCAGTCGACGCATGCGATTGATCTGCAGTCGCATGCATGCGATTGCACACGTGCCGTGGACGGGCTGCGCTTGCTTGCCTCCAACGGGGGATGGAGCCTTCCGCGCTTGCGGCACAGGAAGCGCCCGCCGCCGGTGCTGCCTGGGCGAGCCCACGCCGCCTGCGCTGTGCGCCCCCCCTGGCTGCCTGCAGGTGCAAGGCCCGCCCCCCGCCTGGTACGGCCGCCCCGACTGGTCCAGCCGCGACCTGGCCAACAAGCTGTCCGACATTGGCAGCCACCGGGCGCTGTACGTGGGGCGCAACGAGAGCGGCGAGAGGGCTCGGGAGTGGCGCCACAACGAGGCGGCGCAGGCCGAGCTGCGGCAGGCCATCCAGGCGGTGCTGCTGCAGGTGTATGAGAAGCACGAGGAGGTGAGGCTGCCCGCGGGGGGACAGCGACAGCGGGACATGGCTGCCGCGGCAGCGGCGGCGGCGGCGTGCTCCTGCGCTGCTCGCCTGCTGGCGCGTGCATCGGTCGGGGCTTGGGCTGCTGGTGCCGGGTGCTGCTGGCAGCTCGAGCCCGTGCCGTGTGGCGGCATGTGTGCCTGAGGATCAGCTCGCCGCCTGCCCATGGGCCGCCCCTTCCCTGCAGATCCCCTTTGTGGCCCAGTATCGCAAGGAGAAGTGCGGCGAGCTGCTGGTGGTGCGGTCGAGCGACGAGCCCAAGACCACCTCCGAGCAGGATGCTGGCGGCGGCTACCCGGCGGGCACCATGAAGGTGGGGGCCAGGGCGGGGGGGGGGGGGAGGATGGCGTGTGGTCGGCCGAGCGGCCTGGCAAGCTGCCCAGACAGCCGCGTTCTGGGGTGTTGGGGCGCCCCAGGCAGCGGGCAGGGATGTGGCGAGCAGCAGCCTGGGCCCTCTGGTGAGTCTGCGTGCCTGCTCCTGAAGTGCGCTGCATGGCTCAATGGCAGCTGCGCTGTGCCCTGCCCTGCAGCCCTCCCACCGCCGCATCCGGCGGTACGAGGTCATGTATGCGGTGCAGCAGCTGGCGCAGCGCTGGCGCGCGATGCAGGTCGGTTCCCTTGCTTTGCCCGCCACCTCGGGTGCCGGTGCCAGCCTGCTCATCCCTCCAGCCAGCCGCCTGTCCGCACCTTCCACCTGTCCCCCCATTGGCTGACGCGCCTCCCCTGGGTGGCGCAGGTGCGGCGCGAGGCGCGGCGCCGGGCATACGAAAAGGCGCTGGGGGAGACGATGCGGGACGAGGAGCAGGCGGCCATCCAGGAGTGCCTGGCGGCGCTGGAGCGGGCACAGACGATGGAGGTGGGTGTTTGCCTGGGTGGCAAGGGTGGTGCGCCGCCGCAGAGCCTGGTTCTGCTCCTGGGCTGGATGGCTTGCCTCCTCCCCACCTGGCACACGCGCTTGCACCATGCTCCCCGCTCGCGGTCTCCACCCTGTCTCCGGCGTCACGCCGCCTGGCTCCCCTGCTGCCGCAGGAGCTGGGCGACTGCGAGGCCAAGTTCAGGATGGTGCAGCAGCAGTTCAGCGACGCCTCCGACCAGCAGGCGGCGGCGGCGGCGGCGGCCGAGGAGCCGCTGTCGCAGCTGTCGCTGGGCAACGGCGCCGCCGGGCCGCGCCGCCCGCAGCAGGCCTCCGCCCGGCGCTACCTGCACTGCCTGCGCGCGGGGCTGGGCGGCTGGGTGGCCGGCCTGGGGCTGACCGCGGCGCAGCTGGCCGAGAATGTGGAGGCGGGCTACCAGAAGCACAAGCCCGCAGACCTGACGGTGGGCACGGTGCCGCCGTGGCGTGCGGGCTGTGTGCATCGCAGAGCACGTGCGCCTGCCCTGCAAACTCTCCTCTACCTTCACCACCATCGCACGCTCAAGTGCCGTGCACGTCCCTCCTCGCACCTCGCCCTGCAGGTCACCCCCGAGCAGCATGCGGCGCAGTATGTGGCGCCCTCGGGCGGCTTCCCCACCGCAGGCACGGTGGTCAAGGGCGGCTGCTACATGGCCGCGGCCGAGATAGCAGCAGAGCCGCTGATCCGCCAGGAAGTGCGCAAGCAGTACCAGGTGGGTGGGCGTACCGCTCCGCCGCCCCGCTGCCGACGTGGCGCCAGTTGCGCTTGCGCAGGTGGCCGCACGCTTCCTTGAGGGTGCGTGCCACCCACCGCCTCCCGTGCCTCCACTCTCACTCTCATGTTCTGCGCCCCTTGATAAAGCCACACGCGGCTCCCTTCTGTGCGCCCCCGCTCCGTGCAGGACGGCGCGGTGGTGTGGACCACGCCCACCGCGGCCGGGGACACCACGCTCGACCCTTTCCACCCGCTGGCCCCCGTCAAGCGCCTGGTGGCCAAGCCGCTGGTCAAGTTCGAAAAGGGAGACCACTTCCTGCGCCTGCTGCAGGCCGAGAAGGCAGGCCTGGTGAGCGGGCCAGCGGTGCCGGTCCGGTTGGCATGGTTGGGGCTGCGAATCAGGGCAGAGGGTCAGGCGCGAGGTTGCGCACTGCTGGCCACCTGCCTGTCTGGGCTTCCCGCTGCCCACTGCTAAAGTCAACCTTGCCCCTGCCTGGAGCCGCCCCCTCCCCTGCAGATCAAGGTGGAGTTTGGGTTCCCGGCCAGGCCTCCGCCCAAGGAGGGCCAGAAGGGTGGCGGGGAGGCCACCCGCAAGGCGCCGGTGCCCGACACGGAGGCTGCGGAGCTGCAGAACCACCTGGTGGACTCCTTCGTGTCGGGAGGCCTGGGAGGTGGGTGCGCTGGTCTGGCCGCCATGCATCGCCCTGCCACCCTCCACCCAGCTGCCATCCGGCGGGCGGGCCTGTTGATGTGTGCTGCGGGATGCCACGCCTGCTGCCCTCCACGATAGCGTGGGGCAGTGAGTAGAACGAAGCGTGGTGGTTACCATGAGCGCCTGCTGCGCCCCCCCCACCCCCCCGCCCCTTCCTCCCGCCGTGCCACAGAGGCGGCGTCCGCCTGGGACGGCGTGCGGCGTCAGGTGCTGGGCGAGGCGGTGCGCGACTTCCTGCTGCCGCTGATGGAGCGGGAGGCCAGGGCGCGGCTGGCGGGCATGGCGCGCTCCGCGGCGCTGGACGAGGCCGGGGACAAGCTGTGGGGCTACGCCAGCCAGGCGCCGCTGCAGGTGCGGCCCGTACCTCCCCCCTCGTGCCGCTGGCTCTCCCCTTGGCCTCCCAGCCCCCTCGTGGCCTCATCTCCTGGACCCTCCCAGCCACACACTGCACACACATACCCCCCACGTGGACCCCTACGCACCCCCGAACAACCCCTCCCTCGTCCTCGTCCCCCTGCCGCAGGTCAAGCTTGTGGATGACGACGAGGTGGAGCCTGAGCGGCGCGTGATGGCGGTGTGCTACGGGCCCGGCACCCCCGCCACCACCTTTGTCATGCTGGACCCGCAGGGCAACCTGGTGGACTTCCTGTACTGCCCGCAGTTCAGGTGCGGGCGCGGCGGTACAGCAGTGGTGTCGGGTGGTGGGTGTCGGGTGGTGCACCAGGCGGGGCATCTGCCTCTGCTGGCGCCGCTGCCCTGCAAGCTCTCCACACCATCCGCACCGATGTGGCGCCCCAGCTGCCCTACTCTCTCGCCGCCCTCGACCGCCGCACTCCCATCGCCCGCTACCCCCTCCTCCTCTCGCTCACGCCACGCCCTGCTGCTATGCCCGTGCCCGCCCCGCCTGCTCGCGTCCCTTGCAGCGGCCCCATCCCCAAGCGCAAGGCGCTGCCGGGCGTCGTGTACAGCATGTACGACGATCCCAAGAAGGGCAGCGACGCGCAGCGCATACGCTCCTTCATCCTGGTGGGTGGCGCACGCCCGCCTGCCTGCGCAGCCTCTGGAGCGGAGCCCGCTGGCTGCGTGCATGGTGGTGGGGGGGGGGGGGAGGTGCTGGGCTGGGCCTGCGTTGGGGCGGACCGGGCTGGGACAGGTGGGGGGGTTCAGGCGGGGTTGAGGGCTGTAATGCATCCCACTACCAATGCATACCATTACCACCACCACCACCACCACCCCTTGCCCCCCACCCCCGCCTGCTCGTCCCGCGGCAGGAGCACAAGCCGCACGCCATCGTGGTGGGCGCCTCCAGCCCCGAAGCGCGCACGCTGTACGAGGACCTGGGCCAGATCCGGGAGTCGATCATGCTGGAAGACCCGCGCTTCATGATTGGTAGGGCCCGCCGCCGGGGGGCTGGGGCGGCATGCAGGTCATCTGCACCTTGCAGATCATGTCAGCTTGCGCATGAGTGGTGTGGCGCCGTGGTGTGGCGCCGTGGGGCACGCAAAGCCAAAGAGGGGTGGCTGCGGCATGGCGGGGCGGCGGGCGCCTTGCGAGGATGAGGCTGGGAGGGGGGCATGGGTTGGAGCAAGCCCCTGCCGGCATGCCTGCCTGCTGGGGCTGAGCAAGCTCCCCCCGCCTGCCTGCCTGCCTCCCCCCCCGCAGAGCTGGGCACGGGCGATCTGCTGATCATGATGGCTGACGAGGCGGTGGCCGCGGTGTGGGAGAACAGCGCCGCCGCGCGCGACGAGCTGGCGGCCGGCTCGGCGCCCGTTGTGCGGCGCGCCGTGGCGCTGGGCCGCCAGCTGCTCGACCCGCTGGCGCTGCTGGCCAGCGTGTGCGGCGGCGGCAGGGAGGTGCTGGCGCTGGGGCTGCACCCGCTGCAGGCGCAGGTGGGCGGGGCGGCGGCGGGCGGGGCGGGGCGGGGCGGGGCGGGGGGTGCGGGGCGCTGCCCCGCCGCCTTTTGGCGCCACGCCCACTCCTGCACTTTCCCATGCCCGCCTCTGCCCTGCTCCCTCCCTCACCTCCCTCACCCGCCCGCCTCCTGCTGCTGCTCCCCTCCCTGCGCCGTGCGGCAGCTGCCTGAGGAGGAGCGGCTGGGCATGGTGGAGCGCGTCATGGTGTCGGCAGCCTCCCAAGTGGGGGTGGACCTCAACCAAGTGGCCTCCTCCGCCTGGCTGGCAGCCCCGCTGCAGTTTGTGCCCGGGTGAGGCCTCCCTGCTGCCATGCTGGGTGTGGGTGGGTGGGTGTGCGGTCTAGCGCTTCTCCTTGCAGCTTCTGTGGCAGGTGCCCCCGCGCCTCGCCACCCGCGCAGCGGCGCCGCGGCCACGCGCCCTGGTGGCTGCCCTCCGCCGCCCGATGCCCGCGCCGCACCCCCCCCCCCCCCGGCGTGCAGGCTGGGCCCGCGCAAGGCGGGCGCGCTGCTGCGTGCCGTGACGCGCGCGGGCGGGTTTGTGGAGAGCCGCAACCAGGTGTGGCGCGAGCTGGGCGTGTTTGGCAACCGCGTCTTCCGCAACGCCGCGCCCTACCTGCGCATCCGCGCCTCGGTCAAGAATGAGCCTGCCAGCGCCGCCCCGTGCGCGAGGGCCCGCAGCCGCCGCCGCCGCCGCCGCACCACCACCACCCGTTCAGCCGGGACCCAGTCCACAGCCCCTTGCCTAGCCA